GCAAGCTGAAATATATGGTTCCCCTAAACTTCAGGACAAGAAGCCTTCACCTCCGGACAAGTACATTTTGACAGTTAACTTGCCGGCTTGATTTCCTAGATCAATCAATCAACCTAGACAGTCAACTCGGCCATACGTAAAGGCATTTTATGCATAAGACACAACACTGTTCATTCATAAAACATCGTATATATGAAGATGATGAAAACCACCGAGTGCTGACCGTAAACTCGTATTGTGTGCATCAAACAAATCTTTGTTTTTCATACTTAACATTCATGAAAAGCCAGACCAATTATGATAATACAGAATATGAGATGATCCGATATTTCAATGTGGTAATTCATGTCAAAACTCTAATAAATAATCAAATGTATCCATTGGATGTTCACCAAAGAATTTTTTTAAATAATAATTCGGGACATTTTGCAGAAGGCCGTGAACAATGTTAAATTAGATTTTAGTTTGATGTTAAACGGAATAGAATGTCTGCCAATTTTTGAAAAACATATCTTTAAGGCAGTGCAAATGTTTTAAGTCATTCAATTAGATGTGCGTAACTCATTAATGTAACTACACTTTTATCATATATATTTTTTTATTAATATATTTAAACTAAATAAGTCATGTGAACTTATTTATTTGTTCTATGATTGTACACAAGCTTCTGCAACTGGTGCAGATGAATACTATTGGAATTTAAGGCCACTTCTAACAATGTTTAGACATATCAGGAAAGCTGGTGATAGGTGATTCTGTGGATGCATTTATAAAAACTACATCTGTTCCAGAAGATGGATATTACGCAATATGTGTTGCTGCTTTGTCCGGCCTGTCAACGAACACAGAGGAAGGGCCAAAGTGATGCAAGTCCGACTAGTTTCTTTGCTTGTTGTTTAACGCTGCAGTCAGCAATATTCTATCTTCATGACGGCGGTGTTAATAATCGAGTCTGGACCAGACAATCCAGTGATTGACATGTACATCGATCTTCGCTATTGAGATGTGATGACATGCATCAACGAAGTCAGGGAGTCTGACCACCAGATCCCGATGGTCGCCTCTTAGGACATGGAATATTGCTGAATGCGGCGTTAAACAACAAACAAAGAAACTACATTCCTCCAGCATAGCAAGACCTCGCCAAAAGACCTTCTCCATCAGGGAAAAGCATTCCAATCGGCATATAGCTACGGTTATTATGAAAACTGAAAGGGACCACTAATTTATGTTCGTTTTAACCGAAGTTCGTTATTAGCGCAAAATACAACATATATACAGCAAATGGACGGGACCCCAAGAAACAGTTCGCGTTATCCGTCAGTTCGTTATTAGCGTGTTTGTTATAAACGTAGTTTTCTGTATGTACAAAAATACGTTGTCTTCAATACAACTGCTTGTCGTGAGATTATCTGCGTTGTAGTATTCCCCCTGTCACTAATGCTGTTGACATAATGCTTATTAGTCTGTCTCTCCCCTGAGCCTTACCATTTCCGCTTCCACCCAGCCCTTACGATAATGCTTTAGCTCTAAATGAAGCAAGTCTAGATGTTCCACAGGTTTATTTCCCATCTCAAAGGGGCTCCTTTTCTCTGTAAATGGAGTTTATTTCTATCAGAATTACATATTATCAGAGTGTTGGTCTAAATATTACTGCACGGGAGTCCTCATGAACTGAGTGTTGGAGTTTTATCAAGTATTATTTTCGAAAGGACGGTTTCCTTTCTTGGTATAAAGGTTTAGAATGTCCGTGTTTTTACTTTTATAGATAGGTAGGTAGGTAGGTGGTTTCTGGAATGAAATTGCAATAAACGCGAAAAGAATTATGTATTCAGTGAAAATAGTCTTTGGAATGAAGGAGAGATTTTGAATTGTTCGTGAAGGCGGATGCTCGATAATACAGTGTATTGTACCCTCCACTCTATTGGGGTAAATGACCTTAGTGAGTGAGTGAGTGAGTGAATTGGGTTTAACGCCGCTTTTAACATTATTCCAGTTATATCACGGTGTGTCAGCTTAATGTGGGAGGAAAGCCCGAAGTGATGCAGGTCTCAGACGTTAACCACTTCGGTGAAACCCACGAGCACGGTATGGTGCTGACAAACCTAGAAACATAATCGGGGAGAACCGGAATTCGAACCCACAATCATAGGTTTCTGGCATGCCGAAGGGACGCAACTCTACACAGTGAATCGCGGCGCCTTAGACGACTTGGCCACCCGTGACCCCGTGAGTGCCTTAACCTATACGATTTAGTAGTTTGATTTCGAACCTGAGTGAAATTACACATGGCGCTAAGAATAGCCAGTAAGCCAATATAAGCACACGACCGTGAGAATTATGTGCTAAGTTAGTGGTAAGACTTGCATCACACTCGAAACGTAGCCTTCATTCACGGTTTTTATTTATCATAATAGAATTGAGATATAGACTCCTACTCTGGATAATCGAGTTAATCAATATGGTGATGGTGTGGACGTTGATCTACTTTGGACTAAAGTGCTCATGGAAATAAAAAAAACACTGTTTTGCAGGATTTAATAATCGACACAAAGCATAACGTAGCTGTAAATACGAAATAACAAAACAACTGGAAAAGTACTAGTCTGGATTTGCTAGTTTTATCTCAGTGCTCAATACAAAATGTACTTTACAGGAGGTAATTTGTAGGCACTTTCAACATTCAAAAATAAAACTAAGTCCAAATTGACATGGCAGAAACAAGCTATATGCTTTATGCAAATTAGCCTGGAAAAACAGTTATCAAAACAACAATAAAAATAACAGTTATGTTTATGTACATAATAATAATGACATGTAAGTTGTTGTTTGAGAAGGGAATATGTTACTTTTACGTTCTGATATTTTGACGATGATTCACTATCCCACAATGCCACTCACAAATCACTAACCACTGACAAATCACATGCACGTGGGTTTCAAGCACCTGTTTTCACCTGTCGTCAAGGTGCCATAGGTCATTGACATTCACCTTGATCTACTAACACCTGGTTATGCTCAGTTTCACAATAGTCTGTTTTGTTCATATTTTAACACACTTTTACGTGTAAAAAGACATAAAAAAACTTTGATACGCTGTATTTGTGCCAAGGCACAATTAGTACTAATTGAGTTGTTTTGTATATTAACTGCATTTATTTAAAATCTGAGATCGAAAAAACAGGGGTTTTTTTCATTTCCGTGAGTACTTTAGTTGTCATGATCTTAAGCAAATAGACCTCTCTCTAGTTTACGCAACCCCGCGACAACCTTGGACTAAGGGGACGCGTCGTTCCCAAAACACAGCGCAAGAACAATGGCGGAACCAACTGTCCAGAAGCCCACTGTGACGTCACTTCCTCTGTTGCTACCTAAGGCGCCTGGAACTGAACACATAAATGAAACATATTACACAATTCAAGGTCATCCGATAGCTATCACTGAAAGATTGATTTTTGGCAGAATTATCTGACGCAAAGTGCATATCTTCTCCTGAAGAGGGCGGTCGGGTAGCCTGGTGGTTAAAGCGTTCGCTCGTCACGCTGAAAACCCGGGTTCGATTCCCGACATGGGTACAATGTGTGAAGCCCATTTCTGGTGTCCCCCGCCGTGATATTGCTGGAATATTGCTAAAAGCGGCGTAAAAACAAACTCACTCTCCTGAAGAGATGAATCTAAAACTAATAATTATTAATATTCAGTAATATTTTGATTATTTGCTCTTTTTGAAAGATGGAAATCATATGTGAGGTAAAGAAACAAGCCTATAAACACTGATCTTGCTAGCTTTTGATAAAAGAGAATATGTCCATCTATGGAAATTAGTAAAACTTGCGTTTTGGAAATATAGTGAATATGAAGACATACTGAGTGACTGAGTGAGTATGGTTTTACACCGCTTTTTAGCAATATTCCAGCAATATCACTGTGGGGGACGCCAGAATAGGGTTCACACATTGTACCCATGTGGGGAATCGGACCCGGGCCAACGCTTTAACCACTAGGCTACCCAACCGCCCCGAAGACATACTGGTAAATTATCCTGTAACATTACCACACCAATATGAACGATATATTGATTAAATCAATTAACCGATTATTATTGCCCCAATGAAAACTCCACACCAAATACCTCTTTACCCCCAGAATTTCAACACAACCCTGTATAATTGAAAATTACTATGATATCTTTTTTTCCCTGAGTAAACCAGACGCTCCATGTGGTATTATATTATCAAGAAGATTTGTTTCGTTTGTTTTTTGTTCAACGCCGGACTCGGCAGTATTCCAGATATATAACAGCGGCCTGTAAATATCCGAATCTGGACCAGATAATCCGGTGATTGACATCGTGAGCATCGATCTACTCATTTGTGATACTATGACATGCATCAACCTTGTCACCGTTCCCGTTAGTCGCTTCGTACGACAAGCATGGGTTGTGGAAGGCCAATTCTAAGCCTAACCTTCACGGGTGTTGGTTGGTTGGTTGGTTGGTTGGTTGTTTAACGCCGCAGTCAGTAATGTATTAAGAAGTTTAAAGCAACTCCCGGTCATTACCGTCCACAACCGTCAAGAACCTGAGACCGCCTCCGTGGTCTGGTTGTAGAGCGTCCGTCCGGAGAGCGGAAGGTCGTGGGTTCGATCCCTGTCGCGTCAAACCAAAAGACGCCTGCCTGACGCTCGCCTAAAACAAGGACTGGCCGGCTCGGAGTCAGTATACTGTGTCTGAGTGTTAAACTGCAGCATAGTATCTCAGTTGGCAGTCACTATAAAAGTGTCATTAGCCTGGGTACACACACACACACACACACACACACACACACACACACACACACACACACACACACACACACACACACACACACACACACACACACACACACACACACACACACACACACACACACACACACACACTCGGGCATACACGTCGCTATATAAGTGCAATAATCTTGGACGCGACGTTAACCCCATTTTACCATGAGGTAAGCGTTTACCTGGAGTACTGCTCGTGTTCCCCTGCACGCCGCTGGTCAGCACACGATAGGTCGTCCTAACCGTCCTCTTGGTGATAATGTCGGACTGCAGCCCTCGCTTCTTCCTCCCGTTACCGGAGTAGGGCTGCGTCTCGCCACCACACTGGACCTGTTCGCGGGACATGAAGTGAGGTGTGCACATACGATTTGATCATAATGACGCAATTATAATTCATGTATCTCTATTCTTTTTTGAAGACGACAAAACATGCTGTTAAGTATGATAGCCAAGGGGGACATCGCGGAAAGGGGTAAGACGATACTGTATTCATATTGCTTTCTTGACTCGTGCTATCGCTTTCTCGTCTCGCGGTATCGCCGTCTCGCCTCGTGCTATCGCTTTCTCGTCTCGCGGTATCGCCGTCTCGCCTCGTGCTATCGCTTTCTCGTCTCGCGGTATCGCCTTCTCGCCTCGTGCTATCGCTTTCTCGTCTCGCGGTATCGCCTTCTCGCCTCGTGCTATCGCTTTCTCGTCTCGCGGTATCGCCTTCTCGCCTCGTGCTATCGCTTTCTCGTCTCGCTGTTTCGCCGTCTCGCCTCGTGCTATCGCTTTCTCGTCTCGCGGTATCGCCTTCTCGCCTCGTTCTATCGCTTTCTCGTCTCGCCTTCTCGCCTCGTGCTATCGCTTTCTCGTCTCGCGGTATCGCCTTCTCGCCTCGTTCTATCGCTTTCTCGTCTCGCCTTCTCGCCTCGTGCTATCGCTTTCTCGTCTCGCGGTATCGCCTTCTCGCCTCGTGCTATCGCTTTCACTTCTCGTGTTATCGCTTTATTGCTTTCTCGCGGCCACAAATGAATGCGAGAATGCGATGTCCCCTATCGGCCTCCATAGTTAAGGGACACGGAGGGCCTCCCATTAGTCTCAGGACACAACATGCTGTGCAGTTGAGGGACACGGGTGGCCTATTGGTCTAATACGACACAGTTGTGCAGAATCTCTTCAAGGATACTTCATGGTTGTAAATCATAGGCCCCGTTCTATACCACGATCACAGGGCTGCGCCTATAGTAATGTTTAATGTTAATGTTAAACTTTGGTTGCGACTGTTAAAGCAAGAAGATCGCTTTGTGAAAGGGTCTGACAATAATTGTGATGTCCAGTTTATCAACATCATACCACTGCTAACAGGTTACGCGAGGTGTCTGATGTACGTTTTGTTGGTTTCTTTGTTGTTTAACGCCCCATTCAGCAATATTCCAGCTATATGACGGCGGTCTGTAAATAATCCAGTCTGGACCAGACAATTCAGTGATTGACATCATGAGCATCGATCCACGCAATGGGGAGACGATGACATGCATCAACCAAGTTAGCGGGCCTGACCACCTGATCCCGTTAGTCGCCGCTTACGACAAGCATAGTCGCCTTTAACGGCAAGCATGGGTTGCTGAAGACCTATTCTACCCCGGAGCCTGATGTTCGTAACCGTGTTGAACACACGTCACAGCAATTCAGTCCCCTCTGTATTCAGTGATTCCGCGTATTCACGGTCGCAGAATGTTTTGCAGAAAGGCCCACAGAATTGTAACCGAGCAGAAAATCATATTTTGTGCAAAACTGCTGCGGAATTTTGCTCTTTTCTGCCGCAGAATTCGTCAAACACACAGCAGAATTTTAACACTCACAGTCGAAACCTGGTTTTAAACGCGGCACATAAGTTTACTGAAACGAATATTTGTCATTATTTGAATTGAGTATTGTGTTAATTAAATCATGCCAAATAATTATTTGAGGTTTGTGTTATATGGGAAAAATCAATTTACAATCGATCCTTTAAACATTTTTACGTTTTGAGAAATGGTTAAATGAAATCATTATACATATTTTGTTTCAAGTGAAGTCATAGCTTACTGGAAGTGCATGTATGTACATGTATGTTTACACTAGTGATGGCCGGATTTCCTTCGATAAGTTATTCTAGCCGTGGATACGTTAACAGCAAAATGCCTGAAAAACAGTTGCAAAACCCTAGGAAGTTCACGAAAGGGAAACTTAACAGTTTGCAGAATTATTAAAAAATTGGATTCAGAATTCACAAAAACTGACTGCAAAAAATAGATCTTTTGGCCGCGGAATACAGCGGGGACTGTCAATTGATGACTTACTGCTGCACACGTGGACTTCTCCGTGCACATCTTGACAGTGCACGTGACCGACACTGCGTCCTGATTGGTGAACTTGAAGGCATCGTAGATGAACGTCACCTTGGTATCAGACACCTTGCTTGGTTTCTGTATCATGACGTTGTCGACGTCGCTGGACGGACAACTGGAGGAGATACAGGCACAGCAGAGTTAGTAAGTGTGGATGTAAATGAGTGAGTGAGTGAGTATGGTTTTACGTCGCTTTTAGCAATATTCCAGCAATATCACGGCGGGGGACACCAGAAATGGGCTTCACACATTTTACCCATGTCGGGAATCGAACCCGGGTCTTCGGCGTGACGAGCGAACGCTTTAACCACTAGGCTACCCGACCGCCCCGAATTTTAACGAATGTCAGTAGTTATTAACAGTAATGTAATATCTCGGTGGTCAGTTTTAGTGTGGGAGCACCCGACATGATGCAGTTTAAAGGCGTTAATCATGCCCCTTTCACAAAGCGATGTTAATGGTACTCCACATAAACACTACCATAGACGTAGAACTACGATAGTGTTGGGGGCCATTTGATGTATGTTCGGTGGAGGGGTTGGGGGATATCAGATATTTTAATTAAAACTATGAGCCTGATTCTTTTTTAAGATGACAGCTTACTTTAACGTAATTTGTGTGGCAGGCAATCTCTTTTCTTTCAAAGGTTTGAAGCATGAATATGTTTTCCAAATGTTCAAATGTCCGGCCCCTTACAGAACGGGGCCCATGGCTTTACAACCACGAAGGATCCTCGAAGAGAAGGGACACAACTCTTTGCGACATGGCCCCGACACTGATCACAGTGCGTTGACACGGATCACACGGATCACAGTGCGCCGACAGACCCGTGAAGATCCGGGATAGAATAGGTCTTCAGCAACCCATGCTTGACGTAAAGGGCGACTATGTTTGTCGTAAGAGGCGACTATCGGGATCGGATGGTCAGGCTCGCTGACTTGGTTGATGCACATCATCGTCTCCCAATTGCGTGCATCGATGCTTATGATGTCAATCACTGGATTGTCTGATCCAGACCTGATTATTTTTCAGTGCGGTGTTAAACAACAAATAAACAAAAACAGTGCGCCGACACGGATCACAGTGCGCGGACACGGAGCACAGTGCGTTGACACGGATCACAGTGCGTCGACAAGGATCACAGTGCGTTGACACGGATCAAAGTGCGCTGACACGGATCACAGTGCGCGGACACGGATCACAGTGCGTTGACACGGATCACAGTGAGTTGACAAGGATCACAGTGCGTTGACACGGATCACAGTGCGCTGACACGGATAACAGTGCTTTGACAAGGATCAAAGTGCGTTGACACGGATCACAGTGAGTTGACACGGATCACAGTACGCCGACACGGATCACAGTGCGTGCACAAGGCTCACAGTGCGCTGACAAGGATCACAGTGCGTTGACACGGATCACAGTGCGCGGACACGGATAACAGTGCTTTGACAAGGATCAAAGTGCGTTGACACGGATCAAAGTGCGTTGACACGGATCACAGTACGCCGACACGGATCACAGTGCGTGCACAAGGCTCACAGTGCGCTGACACGGTTCACAGTGCGCGGACACGGATCACAGTGCACTGACACGGATCACAGTACGCCGACACGGATCGTAGTGCGTTGACACGGATCACAGTGCGCTGACACGAGTCACAGTGCGCTGACACGCAACACAGTGCGTTGACACGGATCACGGTGCGCTGTCACCACCGTCCCTGTCTATACATATCTCTACCCGTGTTGTACGGGGGTGTATGCCTCCACTTCCCTGTTTATACATGTCTCTACACGTGTTCTGAGGTGTCCCCATTGATCTCACCTGGAATTGATGAATCTGACTGACTTGAAGTCACCGCCTGCCATTGTGTTGCTGGCCACACAACCTTCCACGCGGAGGGCGACAAACTCTGCAATATCATCGAGTGAGTGAGTGAGTGAGTGAGATACACATATGTGCTTGCACATCGCAATAACATTTCAATGATCTTGGACACGACTTTAAACCCGATTTTACCACACCACCTGAATCTATGCGCGTTATATTTAAATTATGACAATGTCCCTCCTGTCTTACCATACAACTCTTTACACACCCAATTAATGTATACAAGTCCACTACCCTGTATAGTTCAAGACAGTGAACGAGCCACATTTTCTTACGAAAGTGAGTTAAGTTTCATTCATTACATAAAATACAAGTGATATGCGACATGGAACGTTAGCGTATTGTCTATGTTTTCTGATGGCATTGCGAACACCTGGTGTCATCACTGATTTTCAGAGATCCATTCATAGAATTTTTACCGCTGCTTCGCCTTTTACGCCCAATGTAAACAGTTTCGGCTGATTACCGAGATTGGTTATTTTCTGGCCTTGATATTTTATATTTTGGACCCCCAAAAGCTATCGAACCATATGTGTGTTTTCCATCTGTTCCACGTATTCCTGGATAGGATAGGTCCCGTATAACTTATATGCTTGTATGAAAAGGAATTTAGGAACAAATTGGCGCATTGCAAATACAAAGCACTGGTTCGTGTATTCTGGTGTAAGATACAGAACATATATATATATATGTTCTGTATCTTACACCAGAATACACGAACCAGTGCTCTGTATTTGCAATGCGCCAATTATATATATATATCCAATCTTGGAACATGTATGTGCGCATCCTTTACTTATACTGTTATTTGTGTTTGGTTTGAGAAAGTTACGTGTGGATGAGTAATAGTTGTAAAGCTGTTTAACGCCGCTTTTAACAGGATTCCAGTTATATCACGGCGTGTCAGCTTAATGTGGGAGGAAAGCCCGAAGTGATGCAGGTCTCGGACGTTTACCACTTCGGTGAAACCCACGAGCACAGGTATGGTGCTGACAAACCTAGAAACATAATCGGAGCGAACCGGAATTCGAACCCACAATCATAGGTTTCTGTCGAATCGCGGCGCCTTATACGACTGGGCCACCCGTGTCCCTTTTTTTTAAATATGTATGTATAACCATATGCGTACAAACAAAATGTGCCATATTCTCATTCCTGATTCTGAAATTACAATTTGTTTTACCTTCTGGGCTACACATGTGCGCTTTATGACACTACAGGAACTGGCACCAATAGGTAGGTAGGCTACAAAAAGAATTGCGCCTTGTTCACTTGGATCAAAGTTATGTTATGTTTTGGTAGTTCCCAGTGTAGTTTATTTCTCGTTGTTAAAACACGGAACTGTTTCTAGTGTACAGTAAACTACGGTTATAACGAACACGCTTATAACGAACTGACGGATATAACGAACTAACTTTTTAGTCCTGACTATTTGCTGTAGTTATGCTGTGTATATGCTTATAACGAACTACGGTTATAACGAACTAAAAGTAGAAGTCCCTTTGAGTTCGTTATAACCGTAGTTTACTGTATTTGCGTGTGCTGGAGGGAGGGTCTGAGTTGTCGCTGTGGCGAAGCAAGCTGTTGGTAATTTATGGCCTAACTACTTTGTGGGAACTTAGGGGCAAGACATTTTCTTGAACCTCCTCCTGCTACCTGGTGTACTACTACACATACGACCCGTGAAGATCCGGGGTAGAATAGGTCTCCAGCAACCCATGCTTGCCGTAAAAGGCGACTATGCTTGTTGTAAGAGGCGACAAACGGGATCGGGTGGTCAGGCTCGCTGACTTGGTTGATGCATGTCATCGTATCCCAATTGCGTGGATCGATGCACATAACGTCAATCACTGGATTGTCTGGTCCAGACTCGATTATTTACAGACCGCCGTCATATAGCTGGAATATTGCTGAGTGCGGCGTTGAACAACAAACGAACTACACATAGTCTACAAAAGTAGGAGATACTACCACACTACTACTTCGTGTGAGACTATTAGCTCATGTGCCCTCTCCAAATAATCGAGTCCGGACCAGACAATCCAGTGATTGACATCATGAGCATCGATCGACGCACAAGGTACCTACTGATTTTCATAAATTACCACTATTTTAACATTACTATGGTCCAAGGCGCAGTTGGGATAAGATGACATGCATCAACCAAGTCAGCGAGCCTGGCCACCCGATCCCGTTAGTCGCCTCTCACGACATGCATTGGTTGCTGAAGACCAACATAGTACAGTCTGTACTGTACTGGGGGGCACGGGTGGCCCAGTCGTCTAAGGCGCTGCGATTCGCTGTGCAGAGATGCGTCCCTTGGGCACGCCAGAAACCTATGATTGTGGGTTCCAATCCCCTGTTCGCCCCGATTATGTTTCAAAGTTTGTCAGCACCATACCCATGCTCGTGGGTTTCACCGAAGTGGTAAACGTCTGAGACCTGCATCACTTCGGGCTTTCCTCCCACGTTAAGCTGACACACCGCGATATAACTGGAATACTGTTAAAAGCGGCGTTAAACCCAACTCACTCACTCACTCACTGTACTGTACTGTAATTTGTCGAGTTAAAGATCCCAAATGGGTGTACTGAACTGCATCAAGAATAAATTATAAAATTAAATTCAGATGTTCTTCCACATCTGGTCCAAATTTGATTATTTTACAGGTCCCTATACCCAGCTGCAAAGCTGCTTACTGTGGGGTAGTACAAGAAACAACACTATCTGTGATATCAACATTTCCCAAATGAGAGGTCATGTAGCCCTTACTGGGGAGGCCAGCGGCTGTCATTTCTATCGTGGCTGTGATGTCGTCACCCAAGCTGACGCTGCTGGAGATGGGGCTGCCAGACGCCGTCAACGTCAGGTCCACGTCTTCATCTTTGATGCTCATGTCCACCCCGACAGGACTCAGGATACTAGGGGGAGTAGATGTAAACAAGATGTCAACGGGGGAATGTGGCTTTAATGTCAATTAAGACAAGCTCCAATGGTGATCACATTGCAAATGATTCCCAACACGGGTACAATGTGTGAAACCCACGCCATGATATTATTGGAATATTGCTAAAGGTGGCGACAAATCCAACTCACCAACACTCACTCCCTGAAATGCAAATGTGACTCTATGTGGGGGCACGGGTGGCCCGGTCGTCTAAGGCGCCGCGATTCGGTGTGCAGAGTTGCGTCCCTTGGGCACGCCAGAAACCTATGATTGTGGGTTCGAATCCCGGTCCGCCCCGATTCTGTTTCTAGGTTTGACAGCACCATACCCGTGCTCGTGGGTTTCACCGAAGTGGTAAACGTTTGAGACCTGCATCACTTCGGGCTTTCCTCCCACATTAAGCTGACACGCCGTGATATAACTGTAATACTGTTAAAAGCGGCGTCAAACACAACTCACTCACTCAAAAACTATGTATAGGTTGTTTGTTTTTTTGCTTAACGCCGCACGCAGCAATATTTCAGCTCTATGACAGCGGTATGTTTATAATCGAGTCTGGACCAGGCCATCCAGTTGCACGAAGGGGAGCTCCTATTATCATCCAAAAACATTCTTCCACCTTTTCCAGTGTGTAAACAGTAAGAAGTAGTTTATAAGCAGAGTGTACATTAAAAGTAGAGCAAAAAGCTTCATTTGATTGTGACGTTATGGTAACGATGACGTCACGATGGTCGGCAAAACATTGTCATACAATTTCATTGCAGTGAGATCTCATAGGAGATCTAACATATCACTTAACGTCATAATTACCCAAGCGATATCACCTGTGGGAGCGAGTTTTGGATGACAACACAAGTATTACTGACTTGCATGTTAAATTAATTCAATCTCTCCCTCTACCCGTGAAGATCCGGGGTAGAATAGGTCTTCAGCAACCAATGCTTGCCGAAAAAGGCGACGATGCCTGTCGTAAGAGGCGACTAACGGGATCGGGTGGTAGGCTCGCTGATATGGTTGATGCATGTCATCGTATCCCAATTGCGCGGATCGATGCTCATGATGTCAATCACTGGATTGTCTGGCCCAGACTCGATTATTTACAGACCGCCGTCATATAACTGGAATATTGTTCAGCGCGGCGTTAAACAACAAACAAGCAAATAAAAGCTTCTGAGTCTTCGGTTCTGTGATTTCCTATATTACTCAAAGAGACGAAACATGGGAGAATACATAACATAAAGAGGTATATACTATCTAGAAAGATGATAACACGATGTCACCATTGATTCCCTGAACCCCAGTATCCTGATCGAGTCGGTAACACATTTGCACGCTACCTGTCAATGTCGGTGATGCCGAGTTGGGAGCTGGCTGCTGTGCTCTGTGTGTCGTCGCAGACAGCAGTCACCACCTCGTCTGACGTCAACACGATGCTGTCGCTGGCAAACAAAACGTAAAACTTCCGTGTGTGAGAGTCAGTCTGAAAAAAAAGATGGCCGTACATTATTAATGGCAGAAGCTTTTGACTGGCGGATGTGGAAATCCGTCTGAAAAAATACATTGTAGGATATCCTAATGTGTGGTGGCCGAGAGAGGACATCGCTTTCTCGCCTTCAAATATGGACGATAAACCGATAAGACGAGTCGAGAAAGCGATAAGACCAGATTACAAAGCGCTTTCTCGTCTGGAACTATCGCTTTCTCGTCTAGTGCTATCGCTTTCTCGTCTCGTGCTATCGCTTTCTCGTCTCGCGCTATCGCTTTCTCGCCTCGTGCTATCGCTTTCTCGTCTCGTGTTATCGCTTTCTCACGGCCGTAATTGAAGACGAGAAAGCGATGTCCCCTCTCGTCCATCATACTAATGTCCTTTTGAAGTGGTTGGTTGGTTGTTTAACGCCGCATTTAGCAATATTCCAGCTATATGACGGCGGTCTGTAAATAATCGAGTCTGGACCAGACAATCCAGTGATTAATATCATGAGCATCGATCCACGCAATTGGGATCGATGACATGCATGAAACCAAGTCAGCGAGCCCGACCACCCGACCCAGTTAGTCGCCTCTTACGACAAGCACAGTCGCCTTTTACAGCAAGCATGGGTTGCTGAAGACCTATTCTACCCCGGATCTTCACGAGTCTCCAGCAGGACTTAAACTGGGCAAGGTTCCGACTACTTACACTGGCGTTGTGCACGGCGTTCCCGCACGTGGCGTGGGTGTGGGTCAGGGTCAGTTCGTACGTCTGAGTCGTGCCCGACACGAGGGTCATGTGACATGCCGTAGTCTTCGCCTTCCCTTCAACGAAGATTTTACCAGTAAAGCTGGGGACTTGCGGCGTCAGCCTGAGCGTCATCTGAGGCGTCGGCGTGGAGGTGCAGGTGATGATATCTACAAAGATTTGATTTTTGTTTGTTTGTTGTTTAAAGCCGCACTCAGCGATATTCCAGCTATATGACGCACAAAGATTTGAAACTACATCAGTGAGGTGAGGTGAGGTGAAATTGGGTTTAAAGTCGCGTCCAAGATTATTGCACTTATACAGCGACGTGCATGCATGAATGTGTGTATGTGTTTGTGTGGCTGCTTGTACTAGTCCGGACTGATGCCGATTTAAAGTGCTAGCCCACTGAGATACAATACCGCTGTTTAGCATGAATACCCCACTCAGACACAGTATACTGACTCCGAGCCGACCAGTCCTTGTTTTAGCCCCTTAATGCCGAGCGCCAGACAGGGTAACAACAAGTACCATCTTTTAACGTCTTTTGGTATGACGCGGCCGGGGATCGAACCCCGGACCTTCCGCTCTCCGGGCGGACGCTCTACCACTAGACCACGGAGACCGAAACTACATCAGTAAAGGGGCAGGGGTGAGCCAGTCGTGTAATGCGGAGCATTTCGCTGTGTCGAGTCTCTTAGGCCTGCTAGAAACCTGTGAATGTGTTCGAATCCCGGTTCGCCCTGATTATATTTCTAGGTTTGAGAGCACCATACCTGTGCTCATGGGTTTCATCAAAGTGGAAAACGTCTAAGACCTGCATTACGTCGGGCTTTCCTCCCACATGAAGCTGACTCGCCGTGAAATAAATGGAATACTGTACAAAGCGGCGTTAAACTTCACTCGTTCACACTATAGGGCTGAAATACAGTAAACTACGGTTATAACGAACTCAAAGGGACCACTAATTTTAGTTCGTTATAACCGTAGTTCGTTATAAGCATATATATAGCATAACCACAGCACATTTTAGGGGGAAAAAAGTAAGTTCGGTATATCCGTCAGTTCGTTATAAGCGTGTTCGTTATAACCGTAGTTTACTGTACAGCTGATGTGACTATAAATCTTAAATCACTCTTAATCTTAACTCCCTCATTCACATCCGTAAAGATTGACAACGTTAGTAGATAATAACTGATAACGACGTCAGCGACGGAGATATCAGTTTAGCTGTATATAAATTAATACTTTAGGAGATCTAGAGGATTACGAGCCTCAAGGATTAGTCAGCTCTCGATGACCTCTGGGACAAACAAAGGCATGCAGTGGAACGAGCATTGCTCCCTCCCAGTGATGATGAACTTACATCTTGAAGTTTCGCAGTTTGTCCCGAAGAAATTTTCCGTGCAATGGCACTTGTACGTTGACGAGTCTGAGCTGCACGTGGCACCATTAGAACAAGGACTAGACCCACACAGACTTTGTTCTTTTTCAGCTGGAAAACAATGCGTCTGTAAGGCACCGCAATCACACAACCCCAATACGTGCACGTATGAATTCATTAAATCAATTAACAGACGTGATCATTGTCATATATACAAATGACCATTAATTAAGCTACACCTGATTTACAATCCGATTCCGAAAAATAATGAGACCCTCCAGTTCAAAACCTGAATGAACTGACCCAGGCACTGTCCGTGATCGTTAGTGTCAATAAGGTTGTAAACGTCTAAGACCTGCATCACTTGGGGCTTTCCTCCCACACGAATCGGTTCGTGCTGATTATGTTTCTAGGTTTGTCAGCACTATATCCGTGCCCGCGGGTGCAAAGTGGTCAACGTTTAAGACCTGCATCACTTCGGGCGTTCCTCAACATGAAGCTGACAAGCCGTGATATAACTGAAATACTGTTCAAAGCAGCGTTCAACCCAACTCACTCTAACATGTAAAAGGCTGGTGGGTTAGCCTACTGGTTAAAGTGTTCACTCGTCACGACCCGGGTTCGATTCTCCACATTGGTACGATGTGTTAAGCCCATTTTCGAGCGTCCCCCGCGGTGATATTGCTGGAGTATTGCTAAAAGCGGTGTAAAACAATTCTCACTCACTACAGGCGTCAATGGTAAAGTAAAAATTCACTCACTCACCCACCAACAAGATTGTCGTTATTCGGCCCGGAGACATGAGATGTATCATCCAGTGTGTCACTCACGTATTCACTCACTCACTCACTCACTCACGTATTCACTCACTCTCAGATAAGTAAGTGATTTTCTAAGCTCTTACCTTCAACGATGCTGCAGTCGACTCCGCTGTAAAGTACAGAGCACTGACAGATTCCGTCGACGTCATTGCAGTTGGAGCCATGGAGACACATGCTGCTGTCCCTTCGACAGTCAAACTTGCCAATAGCTGTCGGCAAAACGAAAGTGGAAACAGTACCATGCGTTTGTGCGTACTTCAGGTTTGGTTTGAGTCAAATTATTTTCATCCCCATCCTTCAACATACGGCCCCCAAAGATCAAATACTCAGTCCCTTAGTTCCTCAACAGGGGCGGTTGGTAGCATGGTGATTAAAGCGTTCGCTCGTCAAGTCGAAGGCTCAGGTTTGATTCCCCACATGGGTACAATAAAGCCCATTTCTGGTGTCCCTCGCCTTGAAATTGCTAGAGTATTTCTAAAAGCGGCGTAAAACAATATTCAGTCACTAGTTCTGGACATCAAACATAATATTAAAGGCAACAAGAGACAAAAACAATCAATGGATGGAAAATAAGGACTTTTAATGGTATTTTTTATAATAAAACACTTTTCCGTGTCTCTTGTTGACGTGTTCTGTCCGAATTAAAACTGAAATATTAGAATTGAACTGAATATTAAAATTTTAAAATCTATTATTGTAAGTAAACAGGTTGAAACCTGAAGTTCGCTTAATTTAACCACATACGAAACTACTCGCCATCCAACACCAAACATGCAGGTAACATGCAAACGGGGGACATGGGTGGCCCAGTCGTCTAAGGCGCCTCCATTCGCTGTGCAGAGTTGCGTCCCTTGGGAAAAGTTGGGTTTAACGCCGCTTTTCATAGTATTCCAGTTATATCACGGCGTGTCAGCTTAATGTGGGAGGAAAGCCCAAAGTGATTCAGGTCTTGGACGGTTACCAATTCGGTGAAACCCACGAGCACGGGTATGGTGCTGACAAACCTAGAAACATACTCGGGGCGGACCGGGGTTCGAACCGACAATCATAGGTTTCTGGCGTGTCAAGGGACGCAACTCTGCACAGCGAACTGCGGTGCCTTAGACGACTGGGCCACCCGTGCCCCCCCCCCCCCCCCCCCCCCCATAACGCAGAAGAAAATTAGGGAAGAATATTAGGTAAAACGAGTTATTTTAAAAGGGGACTTGCTTACCTGTGGCCACTAGTGTTGATAATACACATAGAAACAGCTGCATCTTGCTGTATAATCTGAAACAATAATATATCAGGAAATGAGTGGGTTGGGTTTAACGCCGCTTTGAACAGTATCAGAAGTCATGCATGTCTCAGACGTTTACCATTTTGGTGAAACACACGAGCACGGGTATGGTGCTGACAAACCTAGAAACATAATCGGGATTCGAACCCACGATCATAGGTTTCTGACGTGCCCAAGGGACGCAACTCTGCACAGCGAATTTCGGTGCCATAGATGACTGGGCCACCTGTGACCCACATATGATGAAGTCGTGGACGATGTTATTACCTGGTGCAGGGGCGGTCGGGTAGCCTAGTGGTTAAAGCGTTAGCTCGTCATACCGAAGACCCGGGTTCGATTCCCGACAGGGGTACAATGTGTGAAGCCCATCTGTTGTGTCCCCGCCGTGATATTGCTGGAATATTGCTAAAAGCGGTGTATAACCAAACTCACTCACTATGCAATGTCTGTCCAACACATGTGACAACTAACCTTTCAAAAACAGGAGGCGGTATTTGATAAGCCAGTATACTGTGTATAGTAAAAATGTAAATGGTCTAGTTGAATATGAGTAAGTGCGTGCGGGAAGGGTTTCATGCCGATATCAGCTGCTGTCTGCCCTTTGACACCAAGAATGGACACATTTGTTCATTTGGGGAATCGAACGAGGGTTTTCATGGATTCTTGGACAAGTCAAGATATGCACAGGTATCGTCAAAACATTGTGCAAGAAAGACTGTCACATAGCGGAGGTAGGGTGTTTCAAGTAACGCTTGCACAGTCAATAGATGCTGAGTCAAATACATACTTGAAATACAACACGATATATGACGTGGTGCGTGGAGTGTGGAAACATGGCATTGAACGCTCAGTGATTTTATATAAGAGTGAGTGAGTATGTTCTACGCCGTTTTTAGCAATATTCCAGCAATATCACGGCGGGGGACACCAGAAATGGGCTTCACACATTGTACCCATGTCGGGAATCGAACCCGGGTTTTCGGCGTGACGAGCGAACGGATTTTATATAAGAGTGAGTGAGTATTTTGTACGCCGTTTTTAGCAATATTCCAGCAATATCACGGCGGGGAACACCAGAAATTGTCGGGAATCGAACCCGGGTCATCGGTGTGACGAGCGAACGCTTTAACCACTAGGCTACCCCACAGCACGATATATACAGAGAGGGGTGTGTCCAACACTGCCAGGGTACACAAACGTAAGCAGACACTTTCATTCATCCAGGGGGCATATATGTAAGGGGTGACCACAGTTATAGTAAGTTACATCTCCTGCGTCAAGGGTTCGGGATTGCATCCCAATTGTGTAGGTCGATGCTCATGATGTAAATCACTGGATTGTCTGACTGTTTTTGTGTCAAACGTTTGGGGCAAGAAAAGAAATTATCTACAAGGCGGGTTTTTTCATATGAAAAACAATATTTATCTCATCTCTCAGCTTTCCCCATATTAACAATAGAGTAAACCATATTTGGCTACCCTGTTTTCAAGAAAAAGAAGCCTCCATCAGCGACCCATATTCACACAACAAGCCTCGTTCTGTACCCTATATTCAAAATACAAGCCTCTTTCAGCGATTCTGTATTCACAAAACAAGCCTCACTCAAGCGACCCTATATTCACAAAACAAGCCTCGTTCAGCAACCCTATATTCAAAATACAAGCCTCTTTCAGCGATTCTGTATTTACAAAACAAGCCTCACTCAGCGACCCTATATTCACAAAACAAGTCTCGTTCAGCAACCCTATATTCACAAAACAAGCCTCGTTCAGCAACCCTATATTCAAAATACAAGCCTCTTTCAGCGATTCTGTATTCACAAAACAAGCCTCGTTCAGCAACCCTATATTCACAAAACAAGTCTCGTTCAGCAACCCTATATTCACAAAACAAGCCATATTCAAAATACAAGCCTCTTTCAGCGATTCTGTATTCACAAAACAAACCTCGTTCAGCAACCCTATATTCACAAAACAAGCCTCGTTCAGCGACCCATATTCACAAAACAAGCCCCGTTCAACGACCCTATATTCACAAAACAAGCCTCTTTCAGCGATTCTGTATTCACAAAACAAGCCCCGTTCAGTGACCCATAATTCACAAAACAAGCCTCGTTCAACTACCCTTCATCAACAAAGCAAGCCTCGTTCAGCGACCCTAAATTCACAAAACAAGCCTCGTTCAACTACCCTTCATCCACAAAACAAGCCATGTGTGGCGGTAGCAGCATGCATGATTTGCTGCAAGCCTCCACGGGGAATTCTACCCAGGCTGCCCGGAGACTGACAAGACCAATCAAACCCGCCGATCCAGTTGCAGCACTTCCTTGATCCAACCATTCATGAAAATTTCATGAAGAGACAAGTAACGATTAGTCTGAGTGAATGCGTCCTTATTGTGATGTTCTAGTCATTCCATTGTCAACTGGGTGGGTGAGATGTTTATCAGGACGCGGAATAAACAATCAATATTGGGCACAGAATCGATGCATGTACCATGCCCCCCGTGTCCTGTTTCAATCTTTGGTTAATTGGCTTTCGGAAACAGCCAGGTACTTGCTTTATTTATTGTATTTTACGAGGTCGGTATCACTTATAATCATACATTTACTCTGCAGCAATTATACCGCCCATGGATATTTATAATGAATATATAATATAATAAAACAATGATAATGTATGTTACAAGGAAACACTGTAACAATATAACAATCATATTTTATGTCGAAGGGGCGGTGGGAAGTCAGGACTCTGAAGGCTCAAGCTTGGTATCCCACATTGTGAATCCCATTATTTGTGCCTGATGCCCTGATATGCGTGAACATCCGGGGTAGAATAGGTCTTCAGCAACCAATCCTTGAGGTAAAAGGTGACTATGCTTGTCGTAAGAGGCGACTAACGGGATCGGGTGGTCAGGCTCGCTGACTTGGTTGATGCATGTCATCCTATCCCAATTGTGTGAATCGATGCTCATGATGTCAATCACTGGATTGTCTGGTCCAAACTCGATTATTTACAGACCGCCGTCATATAGCTGGGATATTGCCGAGTGCGGCGTTAAACAACAATCAAACAAACAAAATATATACGTTTAACGCTGCCTATGCGATAAATCTACAATCTTCAATTTATAATTCATTAGTTCATCCGTTCAGTCGGAATGAAAACGTACAAAGAGAATATTCAACAGGTTCAGGTACACATCCTTGCCTTTCGTCTCTTTTTTCCAAAAAGAGAGAAATACGTTCAACCCTTTGTAGATACATGTTGCGTGCGGACTTACCCCATCGATGTAATCACTCCAGTAGAGACTTCCCGTGCATGTTTACATCTGTATCCCGATCACCTCAGAACGCATTGCAACGATGTTGTGGTTCACTAAATGCTGTGAAGATGCCAGTGTTGTTACTGCCGGTCGACATGTACAGTCGTCACTGTCGACTGCCACCAACACACTAGTTCTTCCTGGTAGCCCAACGCTTACTCTCTTTAACTGCCTGGGCGCTGTACAAATCGATATTCGTAATACGACCGGATCGATGCACTAGAGGTGGGTGATGCTGATTTTCCATTTAACGTATCAACTCTATTTATTTTTCTATCCCACTCGCAGTTTTGGGCATCACAACCCATTTGTACCTTGATGAAATGATGATTGGACGTTAACGAGTTTCTCATAATGAGATGCGTTGATTAAGATGAGTTAGAACATTTGTAAATTATTTTCTGCATCATTACCCGCGAATGAGTGAGCATGTTTGTACATCTGATCTATTAATATTCAGTCATTTTAGGGCGGGAGACACCATTAGTGGGTTTCACATAAATGTCTTTGCACCAATGTGGGGAATCGAACCCGGTCTTCGTCATCACGAGCCCCTCCTTTTACCCCTGGGTTATTCGACCGTCGCTTTACCACTGAGTGAGTATTGTTACACGCCGCATTTGCAATATTTAAGCAATATCACGATGGGAAACACCCCAATGGGCTTCTCACTCGGGAAGTAAATTTATATACAAGAATTCTGACACTCGTCTCGTAAAATCAGTATGACATACATGCTCGTATAAATATCTCTTACTATTTATCGACGAGAATTCATATAAGTCATATCAAAAGACACACGGGTGAGGTTCTATGTGTCATGGTTACAGGGTATTGGTTTGTATAAAACCTGTTTATTGGAAAAAAATAACTTAAATAACCAAATGGAATTAACAATGGTCGGGGGAAATATTGTTATAAGCCTATTGACAAATTTGCTCGGTGAGGAAATGAGTAGTTACAGAAAGTGGAAACTCTGATTCCACGGTAGCCCCCTGTGCCAGTGTTGGTGTTTCAGGAAGTGGTGGACCCAAGCACGGGTTGCCGTGTGTACCATACCGAGTGCATCAGATGGAGACACGTGTCAGATTAGTCGATTTCCAATACTGACTTCAGCCACACGGTGACTGGCAAACCCATGGACACGTGGCTTTGATACATACATTTCAGTGCTTAGTTTTGATGGCATCTGTTTCTGTTTTAACCATACGAAATACGCATAATACTTGCAATACATGCCCCTTCAATAGAAATCCGTTTCGGTGAAACCATTTAAACAATGCAAAGAAGACAGATACCGCTTTGTTTTGCAGTATCCTCTCCAATGGTTTGATAACATACTTACGTGTTTACAAAAACTGTATTACCAGTAAACAATTCCTAAAGGATGTGAAAAGATTTCAATGTCTGATACTTATTACAGATCTCAACCTGCGATAACAATAACTGTACTAAGCTAAAAAATGAAAAAATATCGGTATCGGCACATCCCTATAAACCTGCGCGTCAGTCATTTTTATTGCCAATATATAATATGAAGCAAACCCTGTTATCCATAAAATAATATGCTTGACGACTGGCAGTGTATTATAGAGCCGAGTTCAGTGTGCGACAGGTTGCGTTTGTTGGTATTCTTGGTTAGGAAGGTTTGTTTCGGGGGGTGTTTTTTTAAAAAAGCATGGGCGGATACAGCTTTTTTTAAAAGGGGGGGGTGCACAATTAAGATCTATTTATTGTCTTTGGTGGTAATTTGTACAGAAATAAATATATTTTTCGAAATAAAAAGGGGGGGGGGGGGTGCGCACCCCCGCGTCCCCCCTCTGTATCCGCCCATGAAAAGTGTTCCTTTCGCGTCACTCGTTTTAAAAACGATGAGATTTGAATCTATGTAAACAATCTAGGTACAATGTATTCACAAGAGCTTCCTCTTAAAAAACATAAATGTGCGTCAACATTAGATGTTCATACCAACCCCTTCAAAAGGATCGGATGATATATCGACGCGCAGGTACATTACGTGTTTCCAAAATAACCCCTAAAAGGATGTGATGGATATGAACATGGGAACACAATTACACCCCTTTCTTAATAGATATCAATTTTGGGTAGCATTAAATGTTCACAATAACCGCTTCTGAAAGGATCCGACAACATTCCAACGTGCGATGACAATAAGGAACCGACCATTGGATAATCGAGTTGTAGGGGGTGGGGGTAGCTGGGGGCTGGGATTTTATCGAAAAATAGAAACTGTCCCCGAAAATTCTGGCAACAAAATGTATGCTTCATGCTTGAAAAAAGGATTGCCTGCCACAAAAAAACGCATTGTTGCAATGTATCCCCACCCTAATTCCCATCCCATCCTAAACCCCCAGAATATCAAATGGCCGGTCCCTAAATGTATAACTGTTATGTTAACAAATATCAATAAATGTTTACAATAACCCCTTCTAAAGTCTTACATTATGCCAGGCGGGCAGTTACACAACACAGATGGATATTGAATTTGCCAAAACAATAATGTTACAATTAATTATTATGATAATAATAATTATTACAAACGTTATCATAACATACTGGGCTGGAAGCAGTCGCCGAAACACTGCAAATGTAAGGTCCAAAACATTACTGTGATACCCGTATCACACACGTTACCATCGAATAACCATTTCTTGTTTGTTTCATGGCTGTATACTTTCTTTTGCCCGGCAGTTTAAGCAGCACAATGCTCGTATTCCCTTCAGTGAACCAATTATTCAAAGTTAACGACGCTTGAGCAGTCGATAGGTATAACGTAGGCCTTTAGGGTAATCGACAATGAGACGCTGGTCCTACGTGGTCAGTCAAACAGTGCATCTTTGTGGCTTCTATATATGCTGCAGAAGAGCCTCTGCATATATAATACCCAATGGGAGTCGGGGCAGAAAATATCTTCAGTACCCAATGTTTGTCAATCTTTATTTCTAAATACTGAAAAAGCCATAGGTCAAAAGTACATGTATGCCAAGTAGCTGAGGGTGCATATATGCAACAGGATATTCACCAAAAGCCATGATAACTGTTAAATTGAATCAAGTCGTTGAGTAAGTGCATGCTTTCTGAGATTCATGGCATGGAAAATGAACATTGACAAATTTTTAAATTGTAAGCATTTGTAGTCTTCATTGTTTGTCGTATGAGCCACTATTGAGGATCGTGTTATTACGTGTTGTCCCGGTAAGGCAGGACATGCTTACCCTTGTCGCGAACACCCGGTGTCATCACTATTATTCAGCGATTCATTCATATATTGTTCACCGCTATTCTGCCTTTTAAGCCCATGGGGCCAATGTCTGGTTCGTGTGATAATCGTGTCGGGTTGTTGACTGGCGTTGGAGTTTTATATTTACCTAATAGTGAGTTACCGTACCACGACTGAATGAATCGGTGCTCATGCTGTCACTCACTGGTCCATTGGTCCAGACATTACTTTATAGTGCAGCGGTATGTAAATGGATGGGCGTAAAACAATACTCACTCACTCACTCAACACACACATCACACATACAACATACACACAGAGACACAAACACACCGCACATACACACATCTCACACGATACAAACACACAACACACACATCACGCACAACACACAGACACCACACACACACAACACACACAACACACACAAACAACCGACCATTTAACATCATATGTGTGGTGAAAGGAGGGGAGTGGGGTGAGGGTGGGCGGAGATTTGTGTTCGAGACAGACATTTGTTTTAGTCAGAAATAATTATCACATCACACACACAAATACATCACACACACACACCACAATCACACACCACATCACACACACTGGCACACAACACACACATCACACACACAAAATATACTCACAACACCGACAACACACACACCACACAGACAACATACACTAACACACATCACACACACAATATACACACATCACACAACACACAACACACACACACAACACATATCACACACACCACACACAAAAGCACGTGCAGAAGTGATTCCAGGACCTAACTCTTTTTCTATTTTCTAAATATGTAGAAACAGCCCCTGTACCAGGATGTTGGAGAATGGAGACTTCATTATATATTTATCGTCTTCTTTGTATGGTTTGCCGAGGACGGAGATGGAATGACATGAACCTGGCCTGCAGGGAATATGCCGCTGATTGAAGATGAACGTTCTCTTCACTTAAAGGCAGCAGCATTTCTGCACTTGTGCACCACAGACGTAATTCAAAAATAACATATCATTTTTATGGTGCAGTAGTGTTGTTTTTGTTGTTGTTGTTTGTTGTTGAACGCCACAGTCAGCAATATTCCAGCTTTATGACGGCTGTCTGTAAATAATCGAGTCTGGACCAGACAATCCAGTGATTGACATCATGATCATCGATCCACGTAATTGGGATACGACAAGTCAGCGAGCCTGCCTACCCGATCCCGTTAGTCGCCTCTTACGACAAGCGTAGTCGCCTCTTACGGCAAGCATGTGTTCAGTGTATGAAATGGTATGCTTCTTAGTCGCAGGTCACGCCTATCATAGACAAGTAATTCGACAAACAGAGCGACCATACATGTTAGTTCTTTCTTGTCAACAAGTTGATATGGTGAACAGCCAAGGAACGGGCCAGCCATGCCGTTGTTAACTTGCACTGGGAGCCCATCTGAAACGTTGCCACCGGAGAGTGTAGTGGCAGACTGTCACTGCTGTTGATTACCTAGGCCAGAACCAAACTTTATGTCAAAATCCTTGTTGGTGTCGATTTTACTTTTATTTCTGCTCTTTCCTGTGATTCCTCAACACTCAAACGCGTAAACTGATACATTTTGCTAAAGCTCTACCCTCTCTCACCTTCCTCCCCGGTCTCCACATGCTGGTAGCTGGTGCTCCACAAAATTTGAGAAGTGGCGTTTCCGTCTCTCCTGACTTCCGTCAGAACATCCACCAGAATCCGGGCTATTTACAAACTGATGTCCGGCAACAGCTGCCATTACACCCGAGGCGTCACACTTCTCAAGAGCAGGTAGCTTTGGTGGTGAGGAAAACTTCTTTTCTATTAGTATCTTCGAAAGGTCGCATTCAATCTATTAAAGAATCTGTATGTCCTCCTTTCGGTGAAATAAATTGTGTCTTGAAGCACTGATTGAAAATGTGGTCGGTCCATGATGATGTTTCAACTAGAAATACCATGGGCATAGAGGAAGCCTAGTCATGACATTGGCCCTGGTTCGAAATCCAACATAGATAAAATGTATTAAACCCATTCCTGGTGTCCCCAGCCGTGATATTGTCGAAAAATTGCTAATAGCGCGTAAAACGGCAATATTCCAGCAATATCACCAGAAACTGGCTTCACACATTGTACCATGTCGGGAATCGAACCCGTGTCTTCAGAGTGACGAGCGAACGCTCTAACCTGACCGCCCAATTCTTATAAAGACTATTAAAGAAAAAGCTTTCGGCGTTATCTTTGACTTTCTCTCTTGGCTGACCTTTTCACAGCACCAATGGCGGATGTCGCTCTGTGTTTCCTTGTCTTTATGATCGGAACTCTTACTGTTAGTCCAGGTATGTGATGTTCACGTGTAACCATGGACTCGGGACACATTTCTAGTCTTACAAAAGAACATGTATTTGTTTTCTTGAAATGAACACATCATTGTATGGTGACCTTGGTTGTAATTCGTTAACGATCTCTTTGTCAAACGGTCTCTACAACCGGACCACAGTGTTGTAACGGTTCACGGAAGTGCCCACAGCACGGGTTTGCCCTCGGTTGCTAGCTCAGTCGGACGATGCTAATCAAACTCTGGTGTAAGGTTTAAGACGGCAGCAGCCATGTTTATTTTGATGGGTGAAAAACATTTGATGGTAAGCGCGTGACAGAATGCACGTAGTCGTCAGTGATGCGACGATCTTTGCAATTCGTCCGCCCCTGTTGATGATTTGGGCCTGTTTGCCTGTTTGACCGCTGTAGAATCTCCACCAGACCAGACATAGATAAATACTTCTGCCCAATACACTGTAAGGTGAAGATGTCGGCTGGACAGTCCCTTTTTGAAAACATGCCTAAGCTTCTGGCGTCTTCTCTAAATAATCCGCAAAACCTCGTAAAGGTTAATTTAATATTATACAAAATATACTGAGTCAAATTAAAAACTTCACATTTTTAAAGTAATCCCATATATGATATACAACGGACAAATGTATCAGAGAAGGTAATTTTTAATCATTAATGTCCAAAGAAGGATTTTAATTAACGGTGGTAACCATAATTTGTTCCAAGCACCTACGGTATTCGGTAATAACATCAACAGTTTAAATCATAAGTCCCAAGCACGAGAATCTGATGGCACACAAGTTCAGCAGCGTGTATGGCCACCAACTGCCACACAACGCCTCCGCATGGACCTTGTGATGCTTGTGAACACATGATTGGGAAGACGACGCCATTGTTGCTGCAAAATGGTGCCAAGATCTTGCAAATTCTGTGGTTGGTTTTGGAGAGTGCGCAGACTTCTGCCAAGAGCATCCCAGATGTGTTCGATGGGATTGAGGTCCGGAGACCTTGACGGCCAGTCCATGACGTTGACTCCCGCATTCTGAAGGAAATTCCTTGTCAAAATTGCTGTGTGGGGTCTGGCATTGTCGTGTTGGAAGATCTAACCGGGTCCATGTGCTCCCATAAAAGGCAGAAGTTCTGGTGCCAGTACCTGGTCGCGGTAAGCAGCAGCGTTGAGGTTGCCACGGATGACAAGAAGCCTGAAACGTGCATTGCCACAGAAAGCACCCCACACCATTACACTTCCGCCTCGAAATCGGTTCTCAGACGGTTTCGAACACTTTGCGCACTCAGTCTACCCCCAAACAGTTCATTTCTGGTTGATGTAGCCGTCAAAAATTGGTTACGGAGGTGACGTTAGACAATCTGACGATCCTCTGCATGTGACGTCATACGTGGTCGACCTGGCCGAGGGCGATCAGCGGTGGTACCCGTTTGCTGTAGACGCGTCTGTAAATCATAAACAGTCCGTCGACTACAACCCATCGTCCTTGCGACTTCAGCTACGGACGTTCCCGTCTGCACCATGCCGATGGCACGTTCACGTTGCACATTTGAAAGGCGTGGCATGACAAATGGCCGTAAAGACTTTTGTTTTCTTGTGTTTTTCTTCTTTTTTTAATGACTGCTAACAAGTACGGCAGAAAACACGTGCGGTATTATGGCCACGTGACCAGTTGCACGTGAAAAATCACTTTTTCCACTATAGTGCTGTGCACATGATTTTGATCGATTCACCTGCACAAAAACGGAGCCCCAATAACACCCGTTTTTGTGCAGTTTGCTATTATTGCAGACAATACGTGGCCATTACTGTTTAAATACACAATAAGGGCCCACAATGATAACTGGTCACAATGTTTAGCGGTAGCGAGAACTAAGGTCTGATTTTAATTAGATTGACTTCGAATTCAATGTCCTTCACATTGAGGACGGGAGGATTCAAGGGGTTTTTTTGTACAGCTCGACTCTGGCAGAAGAGTAACTGGACGTCCCCGCCTCCGTTTCAAAGGCGTCTGCAAGCGGGACTTCAGAGCGCTAGGCATGGAATAGACTAAAGCTTAGTCTCTTAAAATATACAATTTTGATAGAAATAAAAAACTCCATTTGATTTAAACGGAGCCCCAGTGAGATGGTAGATTCGGAACCTGTGGGAAATCTAGGGGTTTTGCATTACAGAAAGGGCTGGGCGGAAGGGAAAATAATATTGTTCATCTACTGTCAGACAGACAAGTCATATAATTTGAGAGGTGGAAGCAACTCGCCATCCACCATGGACACAGGGGCGCATCAGAGGAATCAAGAGAGGCGAGTTCAAGCTGAGCAACTGCAACAGGGACTACCATTCCCGAGTGAGCATGTACAGCCACAACAATCGCTGCTCTGCCAGTGTCAACTGACCTACCTTCAACCTCGGAGCAGATCGACGGATGCCTCCAAAGAACAAAGATAAAAATGACTTGACCATCCTGTACGAAAGAATGTATTAAAGTGTCCAAAGAGTACAGTTCGTTATTTATATATATTTTTTAAATAATAATAATTAAGCACCTATTTATTTTGAAAAAAATAATTAAGCTCCAAAACATTTTAAAAAGTATGCTGATCCCAAAACAAAACAGCATGTTGTCCTCACTCAGGAACACATCGGACAGGTGTTATTGAATTACAGAAATACGTCATACACTCTTCATAAATTCTGCCAACAAGATAAGATAGTGTATATTAAAGACTTCGCAACAAAGACGCCCACTTTAAAATATTGTTCTTACTCCCGAAGATACGGCGTGATTTTAGTACCTCACGTGGTATATAAATATATGGGCTGGAGGGGAGAGAATCGCGGGGGTGGGGGCTGAGGCACCGTACAGGGGTGTTGGGGTAGTTCCTCACTTGCTGCAACTGCCTTATTTTATTATTGTTTTAAAACCGTGTGGTCTGTTTGTAAAATTCTGATGAAATTCTGCCGATTCTATATGCTATAACACCAAGAGAGAGCATCTAGATCATATCAACACTGACGCCACTTGGCAAAGGTGAGGTGAGGTGAAATGGGGTTTAACGTCGCGTCCAAGATTATTGCACTTATATAGCGACGTGCATGTACGTGTGTTTGTGTGGCTACTTGTACTAGTCCGGACTGATGCCGATGTATAGTGCTAGCTCACTGAGATACCATGCCGCAGTTTAACACGAATACCCCACTCAGACACAGTATGCTGACCAGTCCTTGTTTTAGCCCCTTAATGCCGAGCGCCAGACAGGGTTACAACAAGTACCATCTTTTAACGTCTTTTGGTATGACGCGGCCGGGGATCGAACCCCGGACCTTCCGCTCTCCGGGCGGACGCTCTACCACTAGACCACGGAGGCGGTCAACTTGGCAAAGGACACAAATGACACATATTACACAATACCAAAACACACTATACACACGCTATCAGCTGGGGTGAATAGGGCACTCGCAAAATGGAAGTCTACATGATAGTGATCTCTCTCGCGATCCTTCTATTATATAATGACGCCATGGCCCAACTCGGTAAGTCTCAATTATCGGTTCCCTATTTTACATGTTCAGTTGTCTATTTCTTATAGTTTATCCATAACCGCTGCTATCAGTTGTTCAATACTGTTAAAACACTACTCATTAAAACAACAAGTGGATTGGAGTGGGGTGTCTTTGTATCATAAAACTTACAAAAAATACGGTTATTCATCGTTCACATTAAGATAGCGAGTTATCTCCTCCCGATAACGATCTTTTGAAACCCCGTTAATCCGGACTGTACTGTCCGGATTAACATATTTCAGCTACTTGTCAAGTGTGTATTTAGATAATATCGAAGATCCAAGTTGTGAAAGCATGTGTGATATTGAAACATCGGCTGATGTGTATAATAAAATTTTAGTAAAAGTAAAACAAGGCGGCGTTTGAACGACTTGATACAAGATTGCTGGAAATGTCAATTTTCTCAATGCTAGTCCCAATTTTGTGGCGCTTGTTTATTGAAAATGTCTGTTTATATGCCAATTTAAGTGTTAATTCAATCATATATTTAAAAGGTTTACAGTATAAATACACTAAGTGCCATCTCGAAGTTAAGGGCGGTATCATTGACATTTTGAAATTATTGTCATAATAATAACATAATACACAAAGTTGTGTTTAATCCTAACAGCTTGATGTAAAAATGTATTCATTTCACACCCGCCTATAGTTAAGATTTACCAAGGTTTGAGTGAGTGAGTGAGGTGTGTTTATGGCTTTGAATAGTATTGAATATCAGACATGTCAGCTTAATGTGGGAGAAAAAAAACGAAGTGACACGAGCAGTAGTTTACTACTATACCAGTAGTGACACACATTAAGTGGTCCTGACGGATGACGGATCTGGAATTCAAACAAGCTGATCCTAGCAAGGGACGCAACTCTGCACCACAATTTGCGGCACATTAGCCACTGGGCCAGCCGTGAGAGTGATGATATACACAGTTATACATAAGTTCTCACCCTCTATTTTCACTGTATATTTTGTTTTGTTTGTTGTTTAACGCCACCCAGCAATATTCCAGCTACATGACAGCGGTCTGTAAATAATCGGGTCTGGATCAGACAATCCAGTGATTGGCATCATGAGCATCGACCCACGCAATTGGGATCCGGTGACATGCATTAACCAAGTCAGCGAGCCTTACCACCCGATCCTCTTACAACAAGTATAGTCTCCTTTTATGGCAAGCATGGGTTGCTGAAGACCTATTCTACCCCGGATCTTCACGGGTTCACTGTTTTGTATCCCCAGTAGGAAATGGTTTGACGTTTACGGTCACCCCTTCGGAGGTCACCATGTGTGGCGACCCCAAGATCAGTCAAGTGGATTTCGACTGCAACGTAACCGCCTCCGTCTCGGACGTTTACAGCATGGAACTGGGATGGAAGACTTCGGGGGGCGGAAACAGCCCTATAGCGAGGATTGTTGGTAACCAGTACTACTCTCTCATCGTAGTGGACAGTCGTCTATCATCCAGGTTAACGCAGACCCACTGGGGGAAAGGTCGTCTCGCAGTCAGACTTACGAACCCACAGACCGCGGATCTGCACAACTATTACTGCAGTTCCGCCTATATGTCGGCGGCTTTGAGTTACAGTGAGGTCGTGGTCAACGTCCATGATAAGAGTAAGTCTTCAAAATGTCATATTGTTATAGTTAAACGCTCGGAACTCGAATCGGAAGTCAAATGTTCGCTTCTGTCCTTACTTTCCCTTTAAACAAGTACATCACAGAGTCTGTACAAAACATGGGGCTTCGTGGCTTCTTACCCGAGTTACGTCCCTTTGTTGGTATTTGGATGTGCCGGTTGTGACGGTGATCGTTACGTTGATATTTTTTGGGATCACTGTTGCTCAGCATGGACAGAAAAAAGGTTTGAACGTTTGCGGGAAGGAATTAATTTTAGACGATAAAGGTGTCAATATATTTCTTATTTCGAAAAGACGTATTTTCAGATTTCCCGTGCACATGGGTTACACACTTTAGTTTTCGATTGGGGATGATTCTGGGAGGAAGTAAGGCGTCCACTGGCGATATTTATTACATGAAAACTCAAGTGAACAGACGTTTTTTTAGCGACACCTACTCGATTTTCTCGATGCGAGTATGGGTATTTACCTTACCTTACACATGAATGTGAGATTCTGATTGGTTGAGACCCATTCAAATATTTCAATGTACCCCGCTAACATGAAAGATACATTTTCTTATGTTCCCCGCTGGAATTGCCGAACTGTTGGCATAACATTTGCAACATACCAACCGCAATTTTATATCTGGTTTATGTACCATCTATGCTCGTTGGCCTTGGGGAACAGAAACTAACATCAAGGGTACATCAACCCATGTCCCCTCGAGACTGGTGGCAATCTCATCAAAATCATATCTTAGTACTCGCTATCGCTAAACATCCCATTACGCAAGGCCGTAGTTAACTTGTACAAGTATCACTTGTTCCCAACTTGTATTTTCATGATTCAAATATATAAAAAATCCGAGGGGGGCAACTGCAGTGAGCGGTCAGAGTTCGCGAAAGGTCGTTCTGACGTGACCCGTAATGGGATGTCCTCAAGTCTTTGATTAGCAACAGCGAGAACTTAGATCTGATTTTAATGAGATTGGACCGATGCACAACTCTTAATATACGCTAAACTTTCTCTGATCGATATCTCATGCTATGTGTTCTGACTGTTATCAGCCTTGAGGACACAGGTTCCAGACTGCACTGAAAGAAACATAGACGGGGCGGTCACTCACAAGGCTTCGACAAGCCATCCTGGTGCCAGCAAATGTCCGGATGGAGGATCCGACAGGCCCGAGGCTCTCGTCCTCAGTTACTGCAGCGTCCCGGAAGTAGACGAATGGCACCCTGGTCCCAGGGTAGGAGTAGTCGCTGGCTATTAGGCCAAAAAAAGACAAACACATATTTCTCATCGTCGTGTGGGTTATTTTAGAACTAACGGGTCAATGCATTTTTCCCGGTCCAAATTCAGCCATTACTAATTTTCCGCATTTTAGATTTTAGTGTTCAATTAGAGTTATCTTTTCTTTAGTGTGTGACGGCCATGTATACATTCACGACAACCTAGGGATCATGTAGTTTTTAATATATTGAAAACATTTGGCCAAAATGTTAAGGCTCTATTGTAGTAATCAGATATACTTTCGCTGTCAGCGTCAGTATCCTGTGGTTTGTCATGCAGGAACGATGTAAAATTATAACTCACTCACTCACTCACTCACTTGTTAAACTTCGGCGGACACGAACCTGCAAACTCTTATTTTGTAGTCCTTGACGCGACCACATGTGCAGCGTTGACTGTTGTCGTCCCGAGTGTCAATTTTCCTTGTCACCATTAACCTAGCTTGATTTACTTCTACATTATTATTCTGATAATGTACAAAGTTCGTCAAGTCCTGGTGGGATATGTGTTATGCATCTGATTCTGATTTGCACATCAATTTCAAAATAGGTGGTGTTTAGGCTGTGAGACGATAAATCATTTCATGTGTTTAGACCCTAAATGTGTCCCATAGACCACACCAAATGTGTATTCCGTTTAGGATTTAAACACATTCCTAAACATGTTTAGGTCTAAACATGTGTTGTATGTGGTACTTGTTGTTACCCTGCCTGACGCTCGACATTAAGGGGCTAAAACAAGGACTGGTCGGCTCGGAGTCACCATACCGTGTTTGAGTGGGGTATTCATATTCTACTGCAGCATGATATCTCAATCGGCTAGCTCTATATGGCCGGCATTAGTCCGGACTAGTACAGCACCACCCACCCACCCACTAAAGAGTGTTATATTAAGTATGTTTCTATCCCTAAATCTCGTGTAGCTTTAGTGTAGTTTAGATGTAGTTCTCAGCAACTCAAAATTGAGACTGGCAGATATGCAAATGTACCAAGAAACGAAAGGTTTGTTGAGGATGAGTATCATTTCTTGTATATGGCCTGAACGGTACATTCAAAAAACTTCTATGTATTACATAATTTCAATGTCTTGATGTCAAGTAATAAATTTAATATCAAAAGAAATTTGGCTTTGTAGATATATAAGTCAATTAAGGACAAAACTGCTGATGTAAATGTCACTTACAATAATGGCTGCTGTACAACTGCTGCTGTGACATGGGCCGATTGCCTACGTAACCTTGCTGAATAAACAAGAACACAAGTGATAGGTCTCACTCACTCACTCACTCACTCACTCACTCACTCACTCACTCACTCACTCACAGGTGGTTGACATATGCTGCATGGTGCCGCCCTACACCCCCGTTGCCACCTTCGTGTTTGGGATCTACGTGGAGGACGAACATGGTATCTCTGGTGTCTTCCTAGGCTGCACAGATGATGGGTTTTCGGTGAGGAACAACTGTTACATTTGACAAGATAAGGATACAACAGACATATCAACATATGCTCATGCATGTCTTTGTGTTGGTAGATGGCGCTGCAGCTATGTGGACATCCACCTCTTGTTGTTAACCTCACAAAGTCCAGCGGTAATGGGTTCGTGGAGGATGCGAACAACTACCACGTATTGCAGGTTGCAGGCTCGCCCATCATCGGATGACGGGAGCATCGTACCGTCCAATAAACTCAAATAACCGTGATGCTGTTTTTTTGTTGATCGAGTGGTATACTTTTGTTTGTTTGTTTGTTTGTTTGATGTTAAACGCTGCATTTCGCAATATTCCTGCTATATGACGGCGGTCTGTAAATAATCGAGTCTGGACCAGACAATCTAGTGATTGACATCATGAGCATCAATTGGGATACGATGACATGCATCAACTAAGTGATCGAGGAGTGGATACGTCTTTGTCAGAACATCACACAAGATGAACATGATCACAAGAAGATCGCCCGTTCTAGTTTTGGTCCATAATGCAAAAGCACAAGAACGGTAAAGTTAGACTCGCCTTCATCTATGTCTGTAAGTGAAGCCTCTTTCCCCGGCCGCGTCATACCTTAAGACGATAAAATATGGTACCTGTTGTTACCCTGCCTGGCGCTCCGCGTTAAGGGATAAAACAAGGACAGGTGGGCTCGGAGTCTGTGGAGTATACTGCATCTGAGGTGGTAGCCATGTTAAACTGCGGCATGATATCTCAGATGATAAGCACCATAAAACCTTCATGGGGAACACAGAGATAGAGAGAACATTTATATACCGGGTATATCAAGTCAATAAGTTATGTAAAGGTAAATGTACAATGTGCAGTTTACCCTCGTGGAATATTTCAGACCAAACTCTGGCATCGTGGACACGACAGGGCCATCCCATAGTTATGTTTCTTAAAACAAACCGATGATCGCAAAGACCCTCCATCATCAATGAATATCAAGCCCAGCGATATGGGTAAACTCCATTTGCCTCTCTTGGTCCAAAGTTTTAGGGATATGAGATCCGTCGATAGCACCTGGCACAGTTTGGCAAGTTTCAATTTCCTCGCAGCCATTGATGACCTCTGCCAAAGCTTCCTGACGTGGCAAGTAGGCGCAGTCGTCCATAAGATGTTCACTAAAACCTTAACATACGTGGATGCTATCAGGACTGTAGTTTTGCCAACACCCAGCAGGTTTCGGTTTTGCCAACACCCAACTTCCAACATCGAACAATTTTCCGTTTTGCAAACACCCAACATCCAACAGGTTTCCGTTTTGCCAACATCCAACAGGTTTCCGTTAAGCCAACACCCAACAGGTTTCCGTTTTGCCAACACCCAACAGGTTTCCGTTTTGCCAACACCCAACATTCAACAGGTTTCCGTTTTGCCAACATCCAACAGGTTTCCGTTTTGCCAACACCCAACAGGTTTCCGTTTTGCCAACATCAAACAGGTTTCCGTTTTGCCAACACCCAAAAGGTTTCCGTTTTGCCAACATCCAACAGGTTTCCAACAGTTTTGTATTCCGCTGAAGATGCCAACTTTTTCTCTTCATGTGTTGGTTGTCACTAGGTTTCAGGTGCCCATTGGCCTTCTCACAGATTTCAGCAAACCTGCGTGTGCATATGACAGTTAGCATACCAATCATTGCCACGACCATTATGGTGACACTTTCCCACCGAGCCGTATCACTGTAAATCTTTCACCCAGATTTGTCTTAGTATAAGCTAGCCATTGTTGTCAAACCAAGCTGGAAATGAAATTGTCTCCTTATTCTTCTGCGATGTGAAATAATTCTTTCCATGTTGAATGGCATCAGATGATGCTGAAGATGTAGCTTTTGCGTTGACAGTCCCCAATATACAACTTCTGACTAATACCCCGTTCACATGCGCCTCTATACATGTGTGTATAAATGTGCATACGTGTGTAGAAATACATACGTGAGTATACTTGTCATGTGAAGGCGTTTACTTATGTGTGTATATTTACACCAGGAGCAAATTAACATCATGTCTGAAGCAGGTGCAAATGTAAATGTAAATTTGCACTGTGTGTATATGTTGCAATGTGAACGTTTATGTTGAGGTAAGAGGATGATCTAATTAATACCTGTTCTTTTGCCAACACCAAACAAATTGTCAACAGTTGCCAACTTTTATGTGTATTTACAGTGTTGAGTTTGTGTTTTCTTTTGGTTTCAAGGAGTCAAAACTTTGTGTACAAATTAAATCAAACACATGTTGCTTCACGCAAAAAAAATCGGTGAAGATACTCTCTTCTCATTCAACTTTGATTGGAAAACAACCTGTTTGCTGTTGAAAGTCGTAAACAGACTAACGACTATGTGTGCCTTACACAATTTACATACTTTATTTACACACCTAAGTTGATTTTCATGTGAACGCATAGTAAATTTACATATACACACGTATGTATAGTTACACATGTGCAAAATTACTCACGTTAGTAATTGTTGTGCATGTGAACGGGGTATAAAACCTTGGAAACACCTAGTAATTCTACTTTTACTCTTGTGTCCAAAAATACACGTTTAGTTTTGCATACGTGGGTAAAAGTTGCGCGTCTTTATCAATCTGTCTATCAGTGAAGATGCTAAACGCGCCTTCGGAAGTTGATGTTGCTAACAGCCTCGTAAAACCTTACCCACTCACTCACTCCCTAGAAACGCGAATTTAAGTATATCAAAACAAACGTTTGGTAAGCTGTGCAGCTGTTAATTTCTCCAGAATTATTTTTTTTAAATACGCATAGATTACAAACAGAACATACCAAGGAGTGTACATTCTTATAAAGAATATAAAAGGACAAGATCTATAGTATATTCCAAGATTATTTCATGTTATTTTTGTTCATTTGAGAGGTTATAACTTAATCCTGAACGCAAAGGTTTTTATACTAAATTTGAATGAAAACTTAAAGATAATTTCATCTCGTTTAAAAAAAATTGTAGTAACTTAAACCATTGATTTTGAAATAAGTAACAGACTTTTGGTGTTATCTTTGACGTCGTCTCCCTGTTGACCTCTTCACGGCAACAATGGCGGGTGTCGCTCTGTGTTTCCTTGTCTTTATAATCGGAACTCTTACTGTTAGTCCAGGTATGTGAAGTCCACGTGTAACCTATAGAGGATGTCTCGGGAAAACATTGTAGCCTCGTCTAGCCGCGACTTATAGAGGGAGTATGTCTCAACACACATTTCTAGTCTTGTCAAGCCGTGACTTATGGGGGGAGTATGTCTCAGCACACATTTCTAGTCTTGTCAAGCCGTGACTTATGGGTGAGTACTTCTCAGCACACGTTTCTAGACTTGTATAGCCGTGACTTATAGGTGAGTACTTCTCAGCACACATTTCTAGTCTTGTCTAGCCGTGACTTATAGGTGAGTACTTCTCAGCACACATTTCTAGTCTTGTCTAGATGAGACTTTCAGAGGAAGAATGTCTCAGCACACAGTTCTAGTCTTGTCTAGCTGTGATTTATAGGTGAGTACTTCTCAGGACATATTTCTAGTCTTGTCTAGCTGTGATTTATAGGTGAGTACTTCTCAGCACACGTTTCTAGTCTTGTCTAGCTGTGATTTATAGGTGAGTATTTCTCAGCACACATTTCTAGTCTTGTCTAGCCGTGATTTATAGGTGAGTACTTCTCAGCACACATTTCTAGCCTTGTCTAGATGAGACTTTCAGAGGAAGAATGTCTCAGCACACAGTTCTAGTCTTGTCTAGCTGTGATTTATAGGTGAGTACTTCTCAGCACATATTTCTAGTCTTGTCTAGCTGTGATTTATAGGTGAGTACTTCTCAGCACACGTTTCTAGTCTTGTCTAGCCGTGATTTATAGGTGAGTATTTCTCAGCACACATTTCTAGTCTTGTCTAGCCGTGATTTATAGGTGAGTACTTCTCAGCACACATTTCTAGTCTTGTCTAGCTGTGATTTATAGGTGAGTACTTCTCAGCACACGTTTCTAGTCTTGTCTAGCCGTGATTAATAGGTGAGTACTTCTCAGCACACGTTTCTAGTCATGTCTAGCTGTGATTTATAGGTGAGTACTTCTCAGCACACGTTTCTAGTCTTGTCAAGCCGTGATTTATAGGTGAGTACTTCTCAGCACACATTTCTAGTCTTGTCTAGCCGTGATTTATAGATGAGTACTTCTCAGCACACATTTCTAGTCTTGTCTAGCCGTGATTTATAGGTGAGTACTTCTCAGCACAAGTTTCTAGTCTTGTCTAGCTGTGATTTATAGGTGAGTACTTCTCAGCACACGTTTCTAGTCTTGTCTAGCTGTGATTTATAGGTGAGTACTTCTCAGCACACGTTTCTAGTCTTGTCTAGCTGTGATTTATAGGTGAGTACTTCTCAGCACACGTTTCTAGTCTTGTCTAGCCGTGATTAATAGGTGAGTACTTCTCAGCACACGTTTCTAGTCTTGTCTAGCTGTGATTTATAGGTAAGTACTTCTCAGCACATATTTCTAGTCTTGTCTAGCTGTGATTTATAGGTAAGTACTTCTCAGCACATATTTCTAGTCTTGTCTAGCTGTGATTTATAGGTGAGTACTTCTCAGCACACGTTTCTAGTCTTGTCTAGCTGTGATTTATAGGTGAGTACTTCTCAGCACACGTTTCTAGTCTTGTCTAGCTGTGATTTATAGGTGAGTACTTCTCAGCACACGTTTCTAGTCATGTCTAGCTGTGATTTATAGGTGAGTACTTCTCAGCACACATTTCTAGTCTTGTCTAGCCGTGATTTATAGGTGAGTACTTCTCAGCACACGTTTCTAGTCTTGTCTAGCTGTGATTTATAGGTGAGTACTTCTCAGCACACGTTTCTAGTCTTGTCTAGCTGTGATTTATAGGTGAGTACTTCTCAGCACACATTTCTAGTCTTGTCTAGCCGTGATTTATAGATGAGTACTTCTCAGCACACATTTCTAGTCTTGTCTAGCCGTGACATATAGAGGGAGTATGTCTCAGCACATGTTTCTAGCCTTGTCTGATTTATACGGGGACACGGCACTTGCTTATTGGCAGTTGGCAATTTTACTTTTGTCCCGACTGTATTATAATTGTTAAATTCATGAATAATTATTGAGGGTTAACAGTGTTAAGGTTGAGCTGTGTATAACATTGGAAGCCTTACAAAAGAACATGTATACTCAACAACAAAAGTTCCTGTGACACCAATATTTTAGTGTATTTTTCAAACAAGTAAAGTTTGGTTTTCAATATTGTAGTACATGTATGAAATCGAGTCACAAAATCGCAACTGCTACAGAAAAGCACGCATGCCATGCAAAAGTTGACTTTTATGCAAGCCCCATGCATTTCACTACCCAAGAATGGGTATAAAAAACATGTGCGTTAACGGGATTCCATAAGCATTGTTTAGCATCGCGCTGACAACAACCACTCAGAAAAACAACAAAATTACGCAATTATTCAACATTACGAAATGCCACGCCTGTCCGAAAATGAGTGACCTTGATTTTAATTACGTTAAAGCGGTCTCTATAACCGGACCACAGTGTTGCAACGGTTCACGGAAGTGCCCATAGCACGGGTTGCCCTCGGTTGCTAGCTCAGTCGGGCGATGGAAAATTAAACTCAGGTGTGAAGTGAAAAAAGGCCAAATATCTATATGATAGTAAGCGCGTAACAGAACGCACACCGGGTCCGCGTGGCTAATGTTCCCTGTCTCCTTGTCGCTCATGTTTCCGTGTTGCTCATGTTTCCGTGTCGCTCATGTTTCCGTGTCGCTCATGTTTCCCTGTCGCTCATGTTTCCGTGTCGCTCATGTTTCCGTGTCGCTCATGTTTCCCTGTCGCTCATGTTTCCCTGTCACTCATGTTTCCCTGTCGCTCATGTTTCCGATTCGCTCATGTTTCCGATTCGCTCATGTTTCCCTGTCGCTCATGTTTCCCTGTCGCTCATGTTTCCCTGTCGCTCATGTTTCCGTGTCGCTCATGTTTCCGTGTCGCCCATGTTTCCGTGTCGCTTATGTTTCGTAGGAAGATGTATTGCATAACGTGGGGCAAGGTCAGTGAGTCGCGTACACGTACGTACGTAATATCCGACATATATAGATAACACTAGAGACATAAGGGTCCTGCCCAGAGGGGGTTAGCAAGTGCTTTATTCGGGCGGCTGTAGACCACCGGCATATGTCCAGATCAGTACGATATACACAATATAATATGAAGGAGGTGAGATAAAACTGACTTCAAGATTATTGCACTTATATAGCGGCGCGCATGCTCGTGTGTCTGTGTCTGCTTGTGTATGTACATGTGCGTGGCTGCTTGTACTAGTCCGGCCTCATGCCGGTATCATGGCGCTAGTTAGTGATCGCTGAGATACCATATGAAAGACACAGGATACTGATTCCGAGCCATCAGTCCTAGTTTTAGGCCCTGGCTGAGTGCCAGGCAGGGTGACAACAATTACCATATTTTAACCTCTTTTGGTGTGACGCGGTCGGGGTCGAACACAGACCTCCTGCTCTCCGGGCAGACGCTCTGTCCACTACACCACGTAGGCGGCCAATATGACAACTGTATAATATGAACAGTGCGGACTATTTTTTGTTTACATATGTCTTGAAATAAGAGTTTCATAATAGAATACCAAAGTCATTTCATACTTATAGAGTCCAAGGCCTTTTCAAAATCAACAAAAAGGCTATAGAATAGCACCATACCCAACCCCGTATAACACTGGTAAGTCCTGCTCCAATTCTGACTGACACGCTGTGATACAACTGAAACACTGTTGAAAGCGGCGTTAACCCAAACTCACTCACTCTTTCACCTGCCCAGGTAATGCCAAATCTTTCGCCGTAAACCCCGGGGAGTTGGAGATGTGCGGCAGCAATCAGACGCCGTCCCTGTCCCTCAGCTGTCGCCCCACCGTGACGGGAATAACGCAGATCTTTGCATTAGAGATCGGAAAGAAGGCAGGCGCGATCAAGTCCGCCATCTCCCGCATCACCGTCTTGGCATCCACGGTGAACATCGTCGACCAAACCCTCAAGTCTCGAATGACAGTCACAGGCTCTATCTCCGGGAGAACAGGCTCCCTTGACGTTACTTTGACGCATCTAGTTGACGACGACGCCACTACCTACTACTGCAACATCGCCTTCCTGACTGATTCTGTCTCTACCCAAGAGACAATAGAGAATGTGTCTCTTCATAGTAAGATTGTGAAAAGTATTTAGTTAACCTATGTTTGAATTGTCTACCAGTTTTGAAAACTTATTTGTAACGTAGCTCACCTATCTACGTCGTGACGACACTGCAAGAATATATCATTGAATCATAATGCATGTTTTTGCTGGCGTGGAAAATCATAGATTAAATTCATAACTAATGATAAAGTTCGATTTAGATTGACAGAAAGAGACAGTATAAATTTACTACATCTTTCATCTTCAGATTATAAATTTCTAACCAACCTATCCAATATGACTATAAAAAAAACATTATAGAAAAAACGAAATAACATGTTTACTTTGTCTCCGGTGCGTTCTGAATGCATAAAAACCTGATATCCCTTTTGGAATAAGGTTTAAAATTATTTTTGTGTTGCTTTTTGTTTGTGCGCTTTTTATATAGGTACCTGAGATATTACTTACAAGTTATCATTATCTCATGTCATAACTCAAAGTAAAGACAGTGTGCACTAAAATTATATCTCTATACAGTGAAATGTCATTGTCATATTGTCACATCTCTCCTTACAGAATCGTGAAGCTCCGGGGTAGAATAGGTCTTCAGCAACCCATGCTGGCCGTAAAAAGCGACTATGCATGTCGTAAGAGGCGACTAACGGGATTGGTTGGTCCGACTCTCTGACTTGGTTGATGCATGTCATCGATCCCAATTACGTGGACCGATCCTCATGATGTCAATCACTGGATTGTCTGGTCCTGACTCCATTATTTACAGACCGTCGTCATATAGCTGCAATATCGCTGAGTGCGGCGTTAAACAACAAACAAACAAAATCTCTCCTTGCAAGGTTGGTCCACGTGAAGACAATAACGACTATGGAGTTGTGTTATCATTGTCTCAGCTCTCCTGGGATCTGTCCCGAAATGCGACGGTACTCAAGTATTGGCGGCCCTGAATAGCCACGTTCCTGTGACCAGCTCCCAGGCTGGGAATTGTCCCAATGGCATTGCTGGCAGATCAGAAGCCCTGATGTTCAACTTCTGCTCCTCCCCCGATATTGCAGGCTGGAGAGCGGGGCCAAAGGTGAGTCAACACATCCTGCTGTTGCTGAACTACCACATTGTCTACATACACTCACCAATGTTCTCTGATATAGTGATAATTCTAAATCGTACAGCATACACCTGGACAGTTAACATTCGTCGGGGGCTGGCGGCATTACCACACTAAGCTGGGACAGCGGCTGGGGACCGACTATTTCATACTCGCGGTGGGAGAGATTGCTCTTCATCGAAAAAAGTAATTAAGCTTCAGACTGTTGCAAGAAACTGCCTGCCAAAAAAACATACATTGATGCAAGGTGTTTTTTTTTAAAAAAAACTCAGCTAATAGTTTAAAATATAAAAAAATATATCTGGTTTTTGAGACAAAATCACAGGAATACCCAAGCATTGAGCATCTTCACAGGGAGATAAGCAAGGGAACCAGGATTCACCAGGGTAAGGCAGGCATGAGGTGCTGGGGACCCAGGATTCTCCAGGGGGAGACAAGCATGGGGTGCTGGGGATCTAGGATTTTCCAGGGGGAGACAAGCATGGGGTGGTGGGTACCCGGGATTCTCCAAGGGGAGACAAGCATGGGGTGGTGGGTACCCGGGATTCTCCAGGATAAGACAAGCATGAGGTGCTAGGGACCCGGGATTCTCCAGGGAGAGACAAGCGTAGGGTGGTGGGGACCCAGGACTCTCCAGGGGGGAGACAAGCATGGGGTGCTGGGGACCCAGGACTCTCCAGGGGGAAAAAGCATGGGGTGCTGGGGACCCAGGACTCTCCAGGGGGGAGACAAGCATGGGGTGCTGGGGACCCAGGACTCTCCAGGGTGAAGAAAGCATGGGGTGCTGGGGACCCAGGACTCTCCAGAGGGGAGACAAGCATGGGTGTTGGGGACCCAGGATTCTCCAAGGGGAGACAAGCATGGGGTGCTGGGGACCCAGGACTCTCCAGGGGGGAGACAAGCATGGGGTGCTGGAGACCTATTCTACCCAGGATTCCCGACGGAGAGACAAACAGGGGAGCAACTCGGACCAGGAATCACCACGTGTTATTTTACTGTTGTAGGTGGCAGACATATGCTGTCAGATCCCCAAATACACACCGGTGGCGACATTTGAGTTCGGGTTCTTTGTGCAAGACGAACGCGGGATGGCCGGCGTCTTCATGGGGTGCACCGACCAAGGATTTGAGGTACACACCTACCTGTGGTTTGAAGTATTTCGGTCTCCGGGAAAAAACCGGGACGTAAAAGGATATTTAATTCAGGGTGACTAGGTATATAGTGTACAAGCTTTATGAGCAGAAGGTACCCCCGATGACCAAGCAGCTTTCAGGGGGAAACATTCCATCCTGTCTTCGAGATCACATTATCTCCGCACCATTCATAACTATCACAGTCGGGGTTTCCAGATAATTTACCTTGATGAATCACTCCACTGACTACACGTGGCTATCGGCAGATGGATAAAAGACACGCATGGTACCATCAGGAAAATTGTTTTGCATGCCGCAACCCGTGATCAGGGGTGTATTGATGGATGTGTGCTAGTTTTCGAGGTGAAAAAGAAAAATGGTCATTTTCAAAAGGAAATTTATAGGGGGAGATATGTCCAAAGACTGGAACATCAGCTATTGCCCATTTTAAACAACCTCAGTGTCATAGTCATGGATAACGCGAGTTAATACAACGTCCGGGAACCAGATACAGTCGCGCCAACCATGAGTTGTCTGATGGCGACCATCGGGAATATATAACATTGTCGACTTCAGACCATCTGAAACGAAAGTTCATGGAGAAAATTCGGCTGAATAAGAAACCAGTAAAGTACAAGACATGTGTGCTGGCGGCACAACACAGTCACGATGTCTTACGTACGCCAGTCAGACGTTGTGAGCTCAACCTTGTTGAGCCTATCTCGGCTGACTGTACAGGGTTCGTGACAAGACATAACACAACATGTAAACTCACACATGTCAAAGGGAGGATCAACGCAGTCTTTGCTAGATATCAGCCTTGTTGAACTAGTTATCATACATTTGGGTGATAGTACAGATTCATATACGTCATCAGCGGAGATAGATGCTACCTCAAGAAATCTTCTATAGAAAAACATATACTTCTTGATTCCAAAACCGCAAACTTCCAGTACACATCCCGTTTCATAATTTTTAACTATTCCATCATTTATCCAAGCAAATATAATCCAGTATATATCCTTAATCGCTTCCCTATCAATGCACATGTCAATTAAGTACAAATAACAGCAATATTTTGAGACCACCCCCAACTCGGGTGACATTTGCACCTTGGAGAATGCACGGGTCGGCGTGAGGTCATCACCTCGGGACATGTGTCAGGTAATTCCTCAGGTTATAGGCCGTTTCATACATGCATGAGAACAACAAATATTTTCCCAAGTTGATCATCATATTACCTGTAAAAGTACATTTTAAGGGTAATCACAGTGTCAGTTAGGACAGGCTAGATTAGGTCAATTTGCGTTACTTTGATATATACTATTTTCATAGCCCTATGGCTCGTATTTATTAAATGAAGCCAGAAAAGCATTTTTCTAGCATTTCCGACAGTACTTTAGTAACTGATTCAGTGCCAAGGGGGTGTTTATTTTCCTGTTCCATAATGTACCAGAGTGGTTCCTGGCTAAATCATGATACATATTAACCCAGAAATAGGTTCGTATACAGAACTAACTGTGGAGTCAATAAATGACCACGCAAGATCAATGAGTTATCAATATATTATATTGAGACACAGTTTTAGGTTTACAATCACAAAAGTCAATGGTGGCAGAAGCAAGAAGTATCGTCAGCTCAGATGTTTTCGGACATCATACGTTTTCGGCCGGCCATGTTTATCGCGAGTACTCCCGCTTTATAACGAGGGTTGTGGCGTCACACAGACGTCGTAAATAACCAGATGGTGGCTTGATTTTAAGATAAAGTGTTCTTTTATAAGCGTCCGAAAACCCATAACACGGGGATAATAGGACCCACGATATATGTCGGCGCACTCAAAAATGTCTAGAGGTTTTCAGGATTTAATGTCTTTTGAAATAGGTCTGTCTCTGTTTTCCACTTCGAATAGTGTTGGAGTGAATGGATACGGTGTTTTCAGTCAAGTAGATAAGATGGAGGTCAGGTCGTAAAGAGGCATCGACTCCCCATCATGCTGCTCTCAGAGGTACAGCCAGTCTCTAACAATCAAACCTTTGGTGTCATTCGTCACCACTCGTCCCTTTCCGTAACCTGTTCGGCTTGTCCCGGAATAACACGAGATGGTCACGAATGCTGTGGTGTTTGTTGCAACAACCAAGGGAGGTAACTCTTATTCCGTTGTCATTTTACCGGCGCTTCAATCATTTAAGCTACTGACAATCCCTACAAATAACCTACAAATAAACTTAACACATAACAATAAAGCGATCCATGCAACACGTGGATGCGCGGATAAATGCGATACGTGTATTTCAAGGCACATAAGCAAGTGATAAGTTCAAATATATTATTTGAATCAGGCAATAGGTGGATGTGCGGAACTATGTGATACAAGGATATCAAGAGTCAGAAGCAAGTGATAAATAATATATTGAATCATGCAATAGGTGGATGTGTGGAGCTATGTGATACAAGGATATCAAGAGTCAGAAGCAAGTGATAAATAATATATTGAATCATGCAATAGGTGGATGTGTGGAGCTATGTGATACAAGGATATCAAGAGTCAGAAGCAAGTGACAAATGAATATATTGAATCATGCAATAGGTGGATGTCTGGAGCTATGTGATACAAGGATATCAAGAGTCAGAAGCAAGTGATAAATAATATATTGAATCATGCAATAGGTGGATGTGTGGAGCTATGTGATACAAGGATATCAAGAGTCAGAAGCAAGTGACAAATGAATATATTGAATCATGCAATAGGTGGATGTCTGGAGCTATGTGATACAAGGATATCAAGAGTCAGAAGCAAGTGATAAATAATATATTGAATCATGCAATAGGTGGATGTGTGGAGCTATGTGATCTAAGGATATCAAGAGTCAGAAGCAAGTGACAAATGAATATATTGAATCATGCAATAGGTGGATGTCTGGAGCTATGTGATACAAGGATATCAAGAGTCAGAAGCAAGTGATAAATAATATATTGAATCATGCAATAGGTGGATGTGTGGAGCTATGTGATCTAAGGATATCAAGAGTCAGAAGCAAGTGATAAATAATATATTGAATCATGCAATAGATGGATGTGTTGAGCTATGTGATACAAGGATATCAAGAGTCAGAAGCAAGTGATAAATAATATATTGAATCATGCAATAGGTGGATGTCTGGAGCTATGTGATACAAGGATATCAAGAGTCAGAAGCAAGTGATAAATAATATATTGAATCATGCAATAGGTGGATGTGTTGAGCTATGTGATACAAGGATATCAAGAGTCAGAAGCAAGTGATAAATAATATATTGAATCATGCAATAGGTGGATGTGTTGAGCTATGTGATCTAAGGATATCAAGAGTCAGAAGCAAGTGATAAATAATATATTGAATCATGCAATAGGTGGATGTGCGGAACTATGTGATACAAGGATATCAAGAGTCAGAAGCAAGTGATAAATTAATATATTGAATCATGCGACAGTTCAGTTAGAATCACTGATTTAAGTTTACCTGTATCCGGGCTCTTATAGGTAACGCATGGTAAACAAAAACAATACAATAAAACATAATGACAATAGTGTTACGAATATAGCGTTGATAAATTAATATATTGAATCATGCGACAGTTCAGTGAGAATCACTGATTTAAGTTTACCTGTATCCGTGCTCTTATAGGTAACGCATGGTAAACAAAAACAATACAATAAAACATAATGACAATAGTGTTACGAATATAGCGTTGAAGACACACATTTGTCTCCTACTTAATCACCTCCTTTATGACAAGTGTTACGAATATAGCGATGAAGACATACATTTGTCTCCTACATAATCACCTCCTTTATGACAATAGTGTTACGAATATAGCGATGAAGACATACATTTGTCTCCTACTTAATCACCTCCTTTATGACAATAGTGTTACGACTATAGCGATGAAGACATACATTTGTCTCCTACTTAATCACCTTTATGACAATAGTGTTACGAATATAGCGATGTAGACATACATTTGTCTCCTACTTAATCACCTTTATGACAATAGTGTTACGAATATAGCGATGTAGACATACATTTGTCTCCTACTTAATCACCTCCTTTATGACAATAGTGTTACGAATATAGCGATGAAGACATACATTTGTCTCCTACTTAATCACCTCCTTTATGACAAGTGTTACGAATATAGCGATGAAGACATACATTTGTCTCCTACTTAATCACCTCCTTTATGACAATAGTGTTACGAGTATAGCGATGAAGACATACATTTGTCTCCTACTTAATCATCTCCTTTATGACAATAGTGTTACGAATATAGCGATGAAGGTATACATGTGTATCCTGACCAGCACTCTCGTTTCAGCTTGTCACCCAGCTATGTGGCCATCCTCCTATCAAAGTGAGCCTAACAAAAAGTCAAAATAATGGCTACGTCGGCAATGCGGACAACTACCACCTGATCCAGTTCGGTAGCCCTAGTAGCACCGGTAACCCTTTTGGGTAAATCTTCATGACCTGTTTCAACTCTACACCCATGTAAGGAAATACTTACAATAAAATGCTACATCCCGGAAAGCTAAATACGTGTTGTTGTTCAGACTTGTATTCTTTGATGCATGCATGAATAGTTGGAGTTTGTACATCAGTACCTTTCCCAAAAGAAGAGTCCGAATTAACGGAAGTATGTACGGAGTCGTGGCCCTTTGTCTGCATACATAGGCGTTCCAGGGGCGGTCGGGTAGCCTAGTGGTTAAAGCGTCCGCTCGTCACGCCGAAGACCCGGGTTCGATTCCCGACATGGGTACAATATGTAAAGCCCATTTCTGGTGTCCCCCGCCGTGATATTGCTGGAATATTGCTAAAAGCGGCGTAAAACTAGACTCACTCACTCACATAGGCGTTCCGTAAAGTGATCGTCCGGAATGTGGGATGTTTGGGCAATTGTTTTCTTAATTGTTGAGAGTGGTAGAGCGTCCGCCCGGAGAGCGGAAGGTCCCGGCCGCGTCGTACCCAAAGACGTTAAAAATATGGTACTTGTTGTTACCCTGCCTGGCGCCCGGCATTAAAGGGCTAAAACAAGGACTGGTCGGCTCGGAGTTTCCAATACCCATTTTGTTTCTTCATTTTCTCTCTTAAAATGTCAATGAGTAATACACTCTTCACAAAAAAAGAAACGCACTGGTAGTATGTAGTTCATTGAACCTGACTACACAAACAAATCCGGTATATAAATTGGATATATGTTATTGGAAAATGTTGGTGGCCTGATATTCGACAAACGATGCGTCAAAACGAAGCCATTGTCGATTTGCAATGTCCGGCATCGTTTTCACATTTGTTCAAACATATCATGGAGGAAAACTGTAAAGCGAAATGCACGTGCAAGTTATGGCATTCGTAACTTGTGGTAGTGGCTATAAAAAGGCAAGCATAAGCCAATAATTTGTTATTCAATTGTCAACATTTTTCAAGTTCGAAAATGCCCTGGCCGTCGAGATCTCCAGATCTCAATCCAACCAAACACATCTGGGATGAACTCGATCGACGTGCACGTCAACGTCAAAACACGCCGCAGACACTCACACAACTGGCAAACGCGTTATAAGCAGAATGGCGAAGAATTCCGCAGGACAGAATTCGTACACTTATCCAGTCAGTGCGGAGGAGATGACGGCGGCCACACGAGATACTGAGTTCAGCTCACCCTTGTGGCCTTATCGAGCTCCAAAATTTCATATTTGTGTCTATAATATTAAATTAAATATATCTACTTTATTAGGTACAATAAATATACTAAAAATCTACCTGTGCGTTTCTTTTTTTTTGCAGAGTGTATATATATGTAGAATAACCTACTCGAAACTCGGAAAGACGGATTATCTGTCCCTCGTAAATGAATGCCGTCGAGATCAACACACTTCATTCACTCGGCACATAAAACCCGTAACCCCTCGTACGATCCACGCAATTGAGATACGATGACATGCATCAACCAAGTCAGAGAGCCTGACCACCGGATCCGGTTCGTCGCTTCTTCCGACAAGCATGGTCGCCTCTGACGACAAGCATGGGCTGCTAAAGACCCGGATCTTCACGGATCATATTGTACGTGCAGTTAGATTCATAAGTTCGATAATCATCATATTTCTTCATGAATGTTTATTCAGTTTGGATGTTGACTCGCCCAGATGTACATGTTTCTGCTATATACATCGGGCAGAGATACAATGTATGTGACCAAGTGATAACGTCATGCGCTCTCTGGGGAGGGGGCACGGGTGGCCCAGTCGTCTAAGGCTCCGCAATTCGTTGCGCAGAGTTGCGTCCCTTTGGGCACGTCAGAAACCTATGATTCTGGGATCGAAGCCAGGTTCGCCCCGATTATGTTTCTAGGTTTGTCAGCACCATACCCGTGCTCGTGGGTTTCACCGAAGTGGTAAACGTCTGAGACATGCATCACTTCGAGCTTTCCTCCAACATTAAGCTGACACACCGTGATATAACTGGAATATTGTTAAAAGCGGCGTTAAATACAACTCACTCTGTGAAATTGAGAAAATACCTCAACTTAATTAGGGTAATCATAGTTCTCTTTATACATGTGTTCTTTGATTTCCCATGATGTTGGTAGCTCAGGGTGAACGACGAAAGACAAAACTGAAGGGTGAAGTTTTAGAAGACAGCAGCCACGTTTTCTGTTGCAGGTTGCAAAAGGTCGAAATGGTACAAATAATAGTAATCACATTACAGACTGCACACCGGGGCCGAGTAGCCATTGTTGCCAGAGCGGAGACCCCCTCCGTCATTCACAGGCAGGAAGTCGGACAGAATTTCGTCATCGTTGATGTAGCCGCTGTGAGGCGGCGGCCTTGGCAGACGCCACGACTAGCCGTACAATACGTCCGCTTCTGTCGATGACGTGGGCCGTCTCCTTGATTGACCATGTCAGTCAGGTTTTGTAAATAGAGGAATTACACTACGTGTTGCAAGGTCAGTGACTCACGTACATGTACGTACGTAAGATCCGGCAAAGTAAGGAGGTGTTAATTGACATTTATAGGTATATAGCGCTGGGTATAAAGGGTCCCGGAGGGTGCTTATGATAAGAGGGTTACGCCGAATGTTTGTTGAATACCTTAAACGGACAAAGGACATAGGACTTCGGTGCACTTTGGAAACATATTGAAACAATTATTGCATTGTAAAGAACTCTATTGAAGTTGTTGCACGAAAAGTGAGTGAGCATGTTAGGTTTAACGCTGATTTGAACAGTATTCCAGTTATATCGCGGCGTGTCAGCTCAATGTGGGAGGAAAGCCTAAAGTGATGCAGGTCTCAGATGTTTACCACTTTGGTGAAACACACGAACACGGGTATGGTGCTGAAAAACCTACAAACAATCGGGGCGAACGGGGATTCCAACCCACGAGTGTTGGGTTCTGGCATGTCCAAGGGACGCACTCGTGACCCCGGTTTGTACTATGGCATATGCATGGGCGAATAAAACTCTCGTCTCCACTAATGTGAGTCTGACTCAACTTGCGATATTACTCGATCTTTATTCCCGAGGTATGATATATTACGGTGTATATATGAACATATATACATGGTCAGTTTCCTGTTTAAATAAGATGTACGTATCCACTGGCTTACAAAATGACCTTTACAACAGGTGAAAATCAGTAAATTGCACACTGACGAACTCACACACCTTCAGCCGGATCCGGGTTGTCAGTCATCACGTGGGATGTTGACACACTTACTCATCCCTCAGAATTTCATCCGAACGTGTTCATGGCTGAATGCTGGCGTGACGTACGTGATCAAACCAACATGAGACTACAATGCTATTCAAAGCAGCTCGCTCACTTTGCAACAAACGAAGCTTTTATTACAAAATGTACCTTTATTTAATTGTTGTTTACTTAAATTATGTAAACATATTTCTACAGTTCGTTATGATGCACACATCTACTGTTTTACCCTGTAAAACGTTTGGGGGATCCTGATTGATGAGAAAGTTAAATTTTAGTTTCAACCCTAAAGCTTCTGGTCCCATCTTGATGAAAATCGTCGCCTAAGGCGCTGGAATTCGCATGCAGAGTAACGTCCCTTAAATTTGTGACAGAATGCGATGATCGTGGGTCCGATTTTTGGTTTGTTGTTTTACGCCGCACTCGGCAATATCCCAGGTATATGACGGTGGTCTGTAAATAATCGAGTCTGGACCAGACAATCCAGTGATTGATATCATGAGGTTCGATCCACGCCATTGGGATCGAAGCTTGCTTCAACCAAGTCAGCGAGCCTGACCACCCGATCCCGTTAGTCGCCTTTCACGACAAGCATAGTCGCCTTTTACGGCAAGCATGGGTTGCTGAAGCCCTATTCTACCCCCGGATCTTCGCTGGACTCTTGGGTTCGAATCATAATTTGGGCTAATCGTGGGTTCGAATCCCATATTAGCCCAAATTATTGTCCTTAGTTTGTCAGCACCATACCCGCGCTCGTGGGTTTCACAATGGACACTTAATATTTTTAATGTCCGTGATCACCATATTGGTGAACGTCTGTACCATCCTCGATAATCTAGTGTAGATAGATAGATCGATAAATCCTCGATTATCTAGTGTAGGATAATTAGATTATCGACAGGAAAGATATAGATAGATAGATCTGTTCAAAATGACATTAAACGGAAACAATCAACTCACACAAAGTCGATGAGGGTGGTCAATAATGGTGGTTAAAGCGTTCGCTCGTCACGCCGAAGACCCGGGTTCGATTCCCGACATGGTACAATGTGCCCATTTCTGGTGTCCCCCGCCGTGATGTTGCTGGAATATTGCTAAAAGCGGCGTAAAACCATACTCACTCACTCTAGGTCATTATTAGAAAATATCTGATATCGGTATATATCACTGGGATGGGTTTTGCTGCTGATAAGAAATAACATGTTATTCAATGAACATGTAATTTGCCGAGCAAACGAAAGTGTACACTTGAAAATGGATTTGACAAAACAATTACAAACGTTATCAAAACGTTGTCACCGAAATACTGCAAACTAAGGTCAAATACACAACTATTATACCCGTATCAAATACATAACCATCAAATAAACATTTCGGTGTTTATTTTGTGAGAGAGAAAAAACAAAATAATTACAGAAGTTGTTAGGTAGTATGAGTATATATATATATATATATATATATATATATATATATATATATATATATATATATATATATATATATATATAACTTAATTTATAGTTGTAAATATTTAGCCAAATTCTGTGAGAAACACCTACCTCTGACTGATGAATCACTAGATGGGTAAAAATACACATTACATTATAGCATCAGACACTTTAGACACGTATATCTACCGCTCCAGTTTGCTCTCAATAGTATTACCTCGGTCCACGCACTTGTGAATCAGGTACCTCGTGAAGTGACGTCACTGCGAAAGTTATAAATAGCCAACAGTAACATGTGATCACACTTATCCAAGATGGCGGCGTTCTTGGCAGTTCCGTTGAAAAAGACCTATGATGTTGATCTTGTAAAACCTCTCAGAAATTTCATTCAAAACACCTTTTCGTCAGCTGAACCCGACGACTACAACAATGCTCTCAGCGAGTTCAACAAACTCCGAAATTTGATGATAAACAAATCCGTAGACAAACACGAATCAGCGTTAGAAGTGCTGTACCGGTAAGTCATTTCTCGTTTCAGTATCAAATATTGTGAAATAGTTGTCGATCAACGTATGCAGCAAGCAATATCTCCAGATGTATATCTATGTGCGTAGAAATATCAAATAAGGTGCCATTTTATGCTGACAGATATGGAAAATACTTCAGTTGACATGCTAATATTTCGTTATTTTGATTTGAAACAGGCGGAAGTGACATGAAAATAAACAACCACTGTTGTTCACTATCATGGGGTTTCTTTGTCAAAAGTTGTCTTTGAAAACTGATAGCAACTCCATTAAAAGAAATAGAAAGCTATAAGAATGAATCTACATTAATAATAAATTATTGAGTTTACTTAGTTGCTGTGTCATTCAGATGACAAGTGGGCCTAAAATGTCCTGTGTATAATACATATACATTATAAAAAATCGTCACTGTCACTGTGTCTACCACCTCTGAGGTCGTTATCACTTCTTGTCTGTTGGTGGTTGATCTAAAAACAAGGTAAGTAATCAATATTAATTGTTTATTTATCAATGTTTATAGCTTCCTTCATATCCTAACAGTGATCTCTAGACCTGATAAAGGAAGTATTTCATGTCACATATGATTATTCATTCCACAATGACCTAAAGACATCACCATGTCAAAATCCTCAAACGTGATTGCCACTACTTAAGCTAGAAAGTTTATGAATGCTAGTATGTATTCATGTTTCCCCGGGACTGGTTGTTGCCTTTGTTATTGTTTTTACGCGGATGATATAGCAGAAACCTAGACAAGTTCGCAACCTGTGCTGCGCAATTCGTAAACGCATTTGTCCCTTTGATTGATAGTATAAGGGCGTATGGTCACATTGATCAACAAAATGAAATACAGTTTTGGAAATAATAAGGAAATGTAGGTATCTTTGTGGGTAGCATCGGTAATGGTGACGAAGTTTTGATAAGTCACTAGCTTGGTAATTGTGCGATTTTCGTTTACACTATTTTTACTTGCAACACAAAGTAAATATTTCACCTGAGCATTGCTTATTTTATTGTGTTTATATTTTTACAGTCAAAATGTGCAAAATTTTCACTTAGAAAATTTATTAAATGCCTGAATATTCAGTTATTTTACAAATTGACTGAAAAATATGTCCATCTGTATTATTATGACAAGGAATTCCAAACATTTTATGTTTAATATCATCACCAAGAGACTGAACATGAAAAGTACATTTCTACATTGTTTGGCTTCTAATCCTACATAATAATCTATTGTGATGATTTTAGGCCCTATTGATTGTCTTATTCAATTTTGTCAATCTGTTAGCATATGGTTAGGAAATGGACAGATTTTTCAGTCAAAATGACTGAAATATTTACACATTTTATAAATTGCCTGAGATAATCACATTTTGCAAGTTGACTGTAATATACAAAGGAAAAGACAACGTCTATCGTGCATCGAAGAATTTCCCAACCAAGACGTACAGGAACGAGAATGAATCTGCCCAATGCTACTGCAAATGAAGGAAAACAAAATGCGAATATCATAATTACAACCTACCAAATATAGGTGTATAATTGTAGGCAGCTTCCTTGTTCGAGGAATGTATCCGTGAATATCCACACAAAGGAACAATATCCCAAACGTCTGCAGCTGTTCAAAGAAACGTATTCGATGTCACGTGTCTCTGTAACAATCAAATATTTTAATATATATACATCGTTTCGGGAAATTTTAAAACCCGTGTTCGTTTCTCAACTTAGATTGTTTCAGGTGTTTCACATAGTTGTCAAGTCTCAAAGGTTAGCTGAGAAAGCCCACGTGACAACGATTTTCATTATGTCCACTGTTCCTAAAAAACCCATTGAGTTAGATAACAATGAGCAATTAATCAATGTATTATCGGTTACTTCTTTGAACAAAGTATGCTGTTTTTACATCGGCACTTCACGCAAGGATATGAGTGTGTTCCCTTTGTTTTAGTAAACCTAGACATGTCAACACTCACTTTTGAGATATCTACCATGCAAGATAACAGTGATTAATCAATCAATATATTTTCTGTTAATCCTTTGATGACTACGAACGTTCCGCTGATTTACAAAAAAAGTAAATCAACTGATCATTCATCTCTTGCTGGGCTGCCACGTGCATATTACATAACACACATTTCACCTCACTTCAAACCTGGATTTAGATTGAATAATTACCCCAGACACAATAAATGCCAAATGGGAACCTTCGTCAGGTATTCGGAGTGGTGCGACCACTAATTATACCTGTAATAAATTCATTAACTGAGCATCAAGTGAATGACGACAAATACACAAGTGTAGGGTTATACCAGAAAACGTGGATGACAACAAGGGAGTAGTAATCGTATTATCGACGCAATCCGAAATCCGAAAATGCTTTCACTGCATTGGTACTCTTTTTTTTAAACTATAACAATCAGGGGTATTTCCAAATGACGACAACCGATGAGCTTCGTCGTTCTTTTTGTCTGTTTGTTTAGGCTGAAGAAATTAATTAACATGCGCCCTTTGTCGAAATCTTTATGGATCACGGTTAACCAATCAGTGTTCAAAAATGAGTAAAACAAATATTGCCTCCAACATGTCCAAGTTTATTTTGCTGTCCTTGCAGACGGTAGCCCAGTTTCTTGTCATGCTCAGTTGCGTTGCGTATCATCCAGGTACTCACAGGGGAAAAACAATAACAAAGGCAACAACCAGTCCCAGGGAATTGCTTTAGATCAGTGCCCCTTTAATCTCACTGTGTAATCTTCTTTTTCTAATGAGCATGCCATGATTAATATAAGTATGATAAGAAAACTGTACCCAAGATTTCTTCATCATCATGATAACTTAGGCAGGCTTGATTTAGGGAACTTGATTTTACCTGTTCGGGATTCCCTGCTCACATCCAGTAAAAGAATGTTTGTTCAATGTATTTGATGCAATCTATCTGTTTTTCACATGTGGCCTTACCGATATGATGCACATATTTCTTGACCTGGTAGATAGTGATAGACAACAGAACTCACTGCTTCAGGTAAACGTAAAAACGGTCACACACACACACACACACACACACACACACACACACACACACACACACACACACACACACACACACACACACACACACACACACACACACACACACACACACACACACACACACACACACACACACACACACACACACACACACACACACCTCTTAAAATATATCACAAGGAAATCCTGAACATACACAAGGAAATCCTGAACATAACAATGAAACATACATGCATACAGGATATTCACATTTAAGATACTCAGAAGACACGCACAAATAATCTTATTCTATGTTAAATAAAATCAGTATCGATATGATTATTTATTCAACTGGCATAGTGTCCAAAGACTTTTTACTTGTAATCAGGTAATTGTTCATTAGCCCCAGGTAAGCATGACATTAATGATAAATGTGTCCATCATGTACACAGCATCTGATTCACATGACAGAATTCAATTAATAATTGATACATTTGATGTCCTGAACGTACTTGTCGAGTCGGTCGGTAAATCTGCACAGAAGACCTTATCTGTACGACAGAGGGTAATTGCAGGAAATCAGTGTGACCAACGTGTTAATATGGTGGTATTTTGAATAATGCATGAACACATTACGATAAAATATCAAATCCTAAGAATAGATATGAGAATGTTGGGTGAAGAAATGAAACTGAAGATCTTTTCAACATGATCAGAATATTGAAATATTTGTTTGAATCTGTAAATATTTAGATGTTGGTATGTAAGAATGTGAGTGAACATGCTTGAAACATGATGATCTACCACTCTGCTGTTTCTTACTGGGAGACAGTTGGGTTTGACTGTAAATAATAGTAACTTCCTGTTCATGCAGTATGCCTAATTATAGTAGTATGATAGTAATGTATTGGTAGTGTATTGTATTGATTATCAGTTGAGTTTTGCAAAAACTGAACAGGGTTACAGGGATTTATTTGATATACAGGACCATGTACCTAATCTTCTATTTTAACAAACCTACAGACTTCGGCCTCGTCTGCATTTATTAATTGAAAAGTCTGCCACCATCCTCACTTTTGAGAATGTGCTCAAGAGACATGTTTTTGAAATGATGCAGCTTGAGTGTTATGATGAGATTCCGTGTAAATATAGCTAGTCTTGTAACTATAGTTATATGAGAACATGGATTCATTTCAACACAATTACTAATCACAATGTCTAAAGATTTACCGGAAAGGGGCGTCAGACTGTGGAGTTTAGGTAGCTCTACATCAGTGATTCTGTGACGTGACAATTTAGTACAAGCTGTCATTGCTGACAATTCTGCCTAGTTTGAATAGTATACTTGAATGATTGTAATATCACTAAACTACAGAAGATCTACCTTTCTAATGTCAGAGGATGAAATGAGGCTTGCTTCATTTGTTTGAATATCTACAAATATATTCATTATGTTCATAATGGTGGAAACTTTGATAGTGCTGCTCAGCTGAATTCAATTACCAGTTTTTTTACCTTTGATTAAACTGTGTTGGTTGAATGATTTTAAAACCACATTTACTACACATGTTCACACAAGGTTAGTTTTGATCACCATATATTGGTTCATTTCATTTGGCATTGTTCATCACTCAACATGCTCAAAAGGGTATTAAAATTAAAACATTTACCCGGGGGGGTACATGATTTCTCATGTTTTGTGACTCAGGGCTAGACTTAAAGGGCAAGTTCACACGGAAATTAACCTATTTTTCTTGTACTTTTTCCACTTTAAAAGTGTTAACCTAGAAGTGTCATAGACAAAAATATAAAAATATCACAATTAATTAACATATTTCTCGCATTAAAACGATTTATATTTTTCACATTTACCAAGTGTTCTATTTCCACAACAAAAACACCATGGCTTATGCCCCTTGCAATATGACGTCATTGGTGCCAATTGATAAACATTATGACGTCATCATGCTTTGTTAGAGCCGCTTCACGTGGTGTAGGTCTAGGTGTGTGATTCTAGCGTCTCAGATGCCAGCCAGCATAGTGTTATGCTGAGTCACCACTGCGCCGGAGTGTGTCGTAGGCCATGTTGTTTTACCGCAAACTGGTACTTGATATCTTTTGCGTTGAGAATAGACAGGGACCCAGTTGAATTGGCACCAATTACGTCATAATCTAAGGGGGATAACTCAGGCCTGTTTAGCTCGAAAAACGAAGGCCTCATAACGGCATATCATTTTCACACTATTGTGAGCTTCCTACTTTCACTGTGAAAAAAATGAGTGTATATTTTCAAACACAGATACTAATTAATTCTAAAATTGCGTTTTGTTTAGAAAAAGAAAGAAAGTGATTTTTGCGTGTACACTTCCCCTTTAAGGCACTTGAACCAGGTGAATGTTGACATGAAAGCCTAGTTGTACCGGACAAAACCAGGTTGTACCCTCAGGGTTAGATTTAACATTGCATGTAGCCAGCAGGGCTTGCTCCTTTTAACATGTTTTTAATGTTACTGGCCCTTCTCCAAACTTACTGGCCAACGACTAAATGGTGGAGGCCGTGGCTGAAAAACCTGAGGTCGCATAAACATCTAGTGGGTCTCTGAAAATTTTAGAACTGCTCACCCCTGAAACGCCTTTTCCTACACTTTGAGATTAAATCTCGGCTTTCATTTGCCTCATTTCATGGTGATTGACATATATCTTTCTTTGAGTTAACCATTCACAACACCTCATACCCCCTAAATATTTTTTCATCAAAATTACATGATTCACAAGTAGTGTCCGATTAAAAAAAATAAACAAAAGGGAAGAAAGGGTGATTTTGACTAGCCAGACTTTGCGTTTCAGCAAGCCAACGGGCCAGCAGTTAAATCGACTCCTGACCCTGGTCCTATCAATTTATGTTCAGTGGCAGATCTAGGGGAGGGGTTCTGGGGGTAGCATCTGATGACACTTTGTATGCGCATTTCCTACCATGATAACATGTTGCCTTGGTTGTTAAAGCAAGATTAATAATGGTTTTCATATCATGTTTCTAATTGTTTGAGTAGGCTTTTGGGTGGACTTTGATGACAGACCCACTCCCAGCAGAATCCTTCTGACGTTCAGATTATTATAAATTACTATTAAATTATCTTTATCCTTGAAAGGGATAGAAATTAGCACTAGCCAGCTAGGCCAAGTCAAATTCTCCAATGTTAAAGGTATCCTCAGGGCTGGTAGATTTTGATCTTTTTAGGGTGTTCCTATATGTTATCACTACTCTGGCTAGTAGACTTTTTAGGTTACTTTCTATCCCTGTTGAGAAGTTGTTCAAGCATATCAAAGTCCATGAAATTAGCTGATGTATCAGTTTATCGGTGGTATGATAAGATGATGTGTTTTGCTGGTCCCTTGCATAACATCACAAGGTACTTATCATGAACATGATACACGTCAGAGGTATTTGACACAAGTCGATACGAAACAATGCAGAGTTGCTGTGATACTCATAATTTTAAATGCCTTCTTCTCCTGTGACCAACTAACTTGAATACCACTTTGCCATTTCACTTAGGACTTGAAACAGAACAAGGTGGTTACAAATTGACCAAGGTTCCCATTTTTCCAAACTAATCATGAAAATGATTGTTAGAATCACCCACCACCACATTACGCTACACCTTCTCAATGTTTTTTTAGCAAACTTTGTATTTGTTTATGTATCTGGTTGAAATTTGAATCATTGAAGTGCATCTTGTATGCGCCAATAGACTGTTGACTCTCTGTAATCCTAGGCATACTTCAATGTATTTCCAGACTCCAAACTATTTGAATTGGTCTGACTGGCATTTTCTTTTTTCAGGTACTATGACCAAGTTGTTTCTATTGAGAGCAAACTGCCTATCACTGAAAACCAGGTAACTATAATGAAATCACATGTAATTTAATGAATTCAATTAATATTATTTTGGGGCCTGTTGCGCGTTAGCATATTAGGCAGAACACTGTTGATATTCATGAAATATGATATTGGAATGGAAATAGAATGAGTTCTTCAGTGGACATCCCAATACAATATTTCCAATATGTCCATCATCATCCTTTAATTAAAATCTGATGCCTCTATGCATAAGATCTGACGAAACTTCCATTATGTGACCCGTGAAAATTCCGGGGTAGAATAGGTCTTCAGCAACCCATACTTGCTGTAACAGGCGACTATGCTTGTCGTAAAAGGCAACTATGCTTGTCGTAAAAGGCAACTAACGGGATCGGGTGGTCAGGCTCCCTGACTTGGTTGATACATGTCATTGATCCCAATTGCGTGGATCGATGCTCATGATATTAATCACTGGATTGTCTGGTCCAGACTCAATTATTTACAGACCGCCGTCATATAGCTGGAATATTGCTGAGTGCGGCGTTAAACAACAAACCAACCAAAACCAACTTCCATTATGTCTATTGGCATATTTGATTTGAGGCCGCTGTGTCATGTGATTTTCTGATCGGCCAATCAGTGTCTAGGCTTCTTAGTTCTCAGTTTGAGCGAGTGATCCAATCAGAACATCATATCTGATATAGTGTTCTCTCGCCTTTGCACCTTCAATATGGCTCTAACTCTGTTATAGCGCGTGGTAACGCATGGCTCCCAAAATTTACTTACTTTTTAATGAACTTCAGTTTTTAAGATGTTTTTCCCCATCTCAAAAAAATATTATCAGCTGATCACTGTGAGTACGTAACACCAGAATTCGCTGAAGAGATACAATGTGGGTTTTTTTTAAAGCGCATAGCACTCGATAAATATTTTTTTATGGTATGAATCAAAAACAACTACTATTCTAATCTTCTTTCAAACTCTGAAACTTGCATCGTAGATTGTGTTAGGTAGCAGAGTATGTACTGTTGTGCTGGTCATCTACCATCGCCGACTCAACCTCTGTTAAACCGCTCATCATCTATAACACTCATCAATTATTTGGACCCCAAAGGTAGTGTTGTAGCGAGGGATCACTGTATCTGTTTCTCTAAACCGAATATAAATGGCTGGTTCTGAATGGAATAATAAAGACTGAGTTGTTAATATTCTTGTGGATATTAAATGCACATAGAATTCTAAACGAGCTCCTGTGTAATCATGGTAATTCCAATTTTCTGAAACAAGTAAATAGTTCTGGTATCTGACAAGCAAATGTTTCATAAAATTGGTATTACACAAGATAACTTTTTTATAATTTCACTGTCATGTGTGCATTGGCAGACATCTACCGATTCACAGATAATCCAGTTGAGTTTAACAGAATACCACTTAAAACACGACACATATTAATCTAATGCCATACAACTGCCTACCTTTAGAATTCAGGGGTCCGTTCCACAAAGCTATCATAGCGCTACGATTATCGTAACTCACATACTATTACATAGACTTACGACTGTCATTGAGCTACGATCGCCTTGTGGAACGGGGCCCAGCACCACAAAGGTTACAATCACGTCACAATACCCTATGATGTAATTTTGCGGAAATTTGTTGCAAGTTCCACCTGCGAAACAATGCCATCTGACGTCATCCTAGCAACAGGGGGTCATTGAGTGTGCATAAGCTCCTCTCAGTGATCTATATCTCTACAATGTCAATGAATAAGCTCCCGCAGTACACAAGCACACGCTTTGTTATTACACAATGTGTAATACAGCTGAATACTATGTTTATTAAACAGGTGATCTCTTCACAGGCAAGTAATAAACCGTATCAATAAACCCTGTAATGGCATCTACATTAAAAAATGAAGGATTGAGTATTTGTTGTTTGGTGTACATGATGGCTATTAAAATCAAAATTCCTGAATTGAGGTGATATAGAAATGAAGCCATATTGTTTTAGAAATGTGACGTTTGGCTGGCTCAAAAACCTACGCATCCTTCATTTAACAAAGTTCACTTAGGCTTCACCAGGTGCGATTTCCTGTGCAGTCATAGACACTGCCACTAGTCCGTTGGTGTGAGACAAGTGAAAATCTTGGAAGGCTAGTTGTTTTATCCTAAAATCTAGTTATTTTACATAATGATGACCTGTAGACTAGTTGGAAGTGACCAATAATCAGCCACTACTGAGGAGGGCTTGTCAGATGCTGATGCCAAGAGGAATTTATCGGAGTAGAAGATCTGATTTTAATAGATGAACATGATGTCCACGTACCATCAGTTCACAAACATTTGCATTCCTGTTTTTGTCTTTACTGATTCTTTTCAAATTAAGCAGTTTTCAACTAAAAGAACAAGTGCAGTTTGATTTCCATATGTGGATTTTCTGAGAAAATATGAATTTTTACATATTTTGATTTGGTTTTAACTTCAACATTTCTGGGACCTATAACTTCATGGGTTCTTTTCAAACTGAGGGTACAGTTTCTATGCCAATAAGAGAGGTGCAGTGCAAAGTTTGATGTTGATAAGTAAATAAGAAAATATTGCTTTTTCCATGTTTTGAACTTAGAAATATGTTTGGGTCGATGGCAGGGGTATTAGCATGATTAGTGAGCCCTGCCTACTTTTTGCCTTGTTCATGTTGTTTCAAGTTAACAGCTGATATTTTCAATAACTTTTGACTCAATACATTTATAATCCCATAAATATATTTGTACTTCAGGTCCGAGTGCAGTTCAAATGGAGAGATGCCTTTGATGAAGGGGGTTTCTTGGCTGGGAAAAGAACACTTGGTAATATTTTATAGTACACAAAAATGTTTACACATTTTAAGAAGTCAGCTGGACATTGAGGTGTCATAATATATCCTCCTCAAATTTTGATACACTTTGCAAGTTGAACAAGCACACATCACCCTATTTCATTTTAATGTATGTTGATACATGTATTTAAGAATTTCCTTTGAGTAGCCATGTGTTGGATTGTTCTTAAATACTCTTTTTGTTTCCAGCTATTGCCTCTGGGTTGTATGAGAAGATATGCATGTTGTTCAACATTGCCGCTCTACAAACACAAATTGGTGCAGTACAAAACCAGGACAGTGACGATGGACTTAAAACCTGCGCCAAACTCTTTCAGGTAAAGCAAGTAGGAAATACCTACGATGACGTGGCAGCTTATTTATTATGCTTATTGGTTTTGTTTGTTTGGTTGTTTGTTTCGCACTTAGTAATAATCCAACTATATGACAGCTGTCTGTATATAAGCCGGTCTGAATGACACAAACCAGTGATTGACATCATGAGCATCAATCTGCACAATTTTGGTACGATGGCATGCATCAACTATGCTTGTCATAAGAGGCGATCGGGTGGTCAGGTTTGCTGACTTGGTTGATGCATGTCATCGATCCCAGTTGCATGGATCGATGCTCATGATGTCAGTCACTGGATTGTCTGGTCCAGACTCGATTATGTACAGACTGCTGTCATATAGCTGGAGTATTGCTAAGTGTGGCGTTAAACAACAAACAAACAAACAAAAGATATCACTATGTAGTGTCCCTTTGGGCTTCTGGGTCACCAGTTCTTGTCATACACAAGGCAACTGAATGGATCAGAACCTGTGAAGATCCGGGGTAGAATAGGTCTTTAGCAACCCATCTTTGCTGTAAAATGCGACTATGTTTGTCGTAAGAGGCAACTAACAGGATCGGGTGGTCAGGCTCACTGACTTAGTAGATGCATGTCATTGTATCCCATTGCTTGGGACATCTATCACTGGATTCTCTGGTCCTGACTCCATTATTTACAGACTGCTGTCATATAGCTGGAAAATTGCTGAGTGCGGCGTCAAGCAACAAACAAACAAAATGATCAGGTGTTTAAGCTTGGTGGCTTGGTTGATTGTATTTCATCATACACTGACGGCATGGGGTGGTGCTCGTAATATCAATCACTTGTTTGTCATGGTCCAAAGTCGATTACAAACAGGACACCATCTTAAAGCTGGAATAATCGGAACTGGTGATTAGAGATAAACAAGGCATCAACTGATTGTAAAGACATTTCAGAAGTCTATTTTAACCTCTTAACCCCCACCCCACCCCCTTAATGTTTCTTGATACAAGGAGTTTGTCAGCTCAGAAATGTCAAAAACTTGCATAAAACTATTTTGTATCTAATGAAATTACATGTATATTACTATATCATATATATGATGTTACATTTCTGTGCAGCAAGCAAGTGGAATATTTGCCCACATGAAGGACATTGTGTTGTCACATGTGCAGCAAGACCCGACCCCTGACCTTAACCCCGACACTCTGGGGGCACTCAGTGCACTCATGTTAGCCCAGGCACAAGAGGCTATATACAGGAAGGCTACCTCAGGTATGTTTGACGACTTTGTACCGGGAGTTTATGAGATAAAATAACTTTGTTTGGAATTTAAAGGTATTTTATTGTAGATTTGCTACCTTTTCAATTTGTGATCAGTAATGTAACATTTCTCCTGACATTACCATAAGTTGCAACACTTGTGAGTGCTCATTTTATCATTAATGCAGGCTTCTGTGATTTAGTTGGAATATTGCTGACTGCAGCACATCTTCCCGAGGCAAGAGAGTAAACTGACTTTAAAAGTCCAGTTTCCACCCTTGCTGAACTATGCTGGAATTACTGGGCTCGATTGTCGCGCCACCAGTGGCTATAACCAGTTATGTCACTTCTAAGCCTATCCTATGGACCAATCAGATTCCGCCTCTCGTATCACTTGCGTTGAGTCAAGACAATCTGATCGATAATCAAGATCCATATTGTGATAAAATGGGTCTTACATCGCGAAGTGCATCAAATCACGTGAGCACCTTGATTAAAACATGAAAAGATTGGGAAGATATCTGCTGACAACGAGTTGGCGGTGCACATGCTTTGCAAATCCTGCAATCGACCGAAATCTGCACGACAGTTTACGAACCGGATTTCGATTTCGGTGCACGATTTTGATTAGACTATACATAGACTCGTTAGTCCAGCCAAACTGTAACTCCATAATACCAGCCTAGTTCGGCAAGGGTGGAAACTGGACTTTCATAGTCAGTTAACTCTCTTGCCTCAGGGAGATGACTGCAGCAATAATGCTTACTTCTCTCAATTTGTGATTTTGTTTCAGATAGGATGAAGGATGCTATGGTGGCCAAGCTGGCCTACCAGTGCTCTGAGTTGTATGCTGATGCCATGAAGCTGATGCAGCTACACTCCATCAAAGAATTGTGGCCCAAGGTCAGAAGCTAGCCAAGTTCATAATGCACACTTACCTCCCTTTGGCAGTTATTGTCAGGGTTCCTCCGTTGTCCGAATACACATCTTAACACATCTGCAGCAAATTAATTGATATTTGGAAAGTTATGTAAAGTTGTTCAGCAAGATTATTAGACGTTATTAGGAGTGTAACAATAAATCGATAGGAATTTAATATGCCAACAGTATCATCAATCATATGCATAACAAATGATATTTTCAATAGTTGAAATTAGTTATAATTAATACATTCAAAATTGTCTGTGTGTTGCTAAGCAAGGTTTACAACAACTTCAGATTAGAGTTACTTCCCTTGGGTTTGAGTAGCAATGGAGGAAAATGGCCGACTTTGAGATTGTCAGCAATACTTTATTCATTTCTATTGATTAATATAATTATCAAGCCTTCAAGTTGGTTTACTACCCTCGCAATACCATTGCAATAGTGGAGACTTCTATTGGAATAGAATCACAATAGTGAAAATAACCCCAATAGTTCTCCCTAGACATGATGTATGTGTATGCTGTATATGATATATGTATGGCACTGAGACAACAAGTGTCACGCTGCAGAATTTACCCTTGCATAAGGCCACAGTAGACTATCAGATTTTCTTCCAAAAATATTAAGAAGTGAGTCAGGAGGCATTAAATTTGTTTTATGTTAAATGTTTCAAACAAACTGTTAAAGTCATCTGTGTACATTATGAAGGTCAGCCCTTGTATTTCACGTAAAGCATGACTTGATGGGACGACATTTATTGTGTATTTTAAAATGAATGGGAATGAAATGTTAGAATATGCAGGCATCACATAATGATCAATGTCAACTTCCATGTAACACAAAACAGATAGTGTTGATCTTCTAGTTTTATCATTTAAAGAAATAAGAACGGATTTTCTTGGTATAGGTACGTGGGGTTCGATGAAGGATGTGAAGCATGGTGTTTGTTAGTGTGATGGTCAGGCATTAACATGTACGCATGTATTTGTAGTAAATTAAAATTTGTATATCGTAGGAGTGGATCCCGTGTGTAGTGATGAAGCAAGCAGCCTTCCATGGCTTGGCAGAGTTCTACCAGAGCAATGTGGCTAAAGCAAACAAGAGCTATGGAGAACAAATTGCAAGGCTGAAGGTTTGTACATTACATTCAATTTCCAGATTCTAAGATCTTTGCTATGGAGACCGCCTCCTTGGTCTAGTGGTAGAGCGTTCGCCCGGAGAGCAGAAGGTCCGGGGTTTGATTCCTGGCTTCGTCATACCTAAAGACGTTAAAAGATGGTACTTGTTGTTACCCTGTCTGGTGGTCGACATTAAGGGGCTAAAACAAGGACTGGTCGGCTCGGAATCAGTATACTGTGTCTGAGTGGGGTATCCATGTTAAACTGCGGCATGGTATCTCAGTGAGCTAGCACTATAAATCGGCATCAGTCTGGACTAGTACAAGCACCCACATAAACACACACACAGATGCATGCATGTCGCTATATAAGTGCAATAATCTTGGACGCGACGTTAAACCCAATTTCACCTCACCTATCCTCTTTGCAATGGATGTCCAGTCTCAATGTCAGACAACCAAAATGTCTTGCAGTGATGGAATTATTTACAGACCGCCATCATATAGGTGGCATATTGCTGAATGCAGTGTTAAAGGGCAAGTTCACACGGAAATTAACCTATTTTTCTTGTACTTTTTCCACATTAAAAGTGTTAACCTAGAAATGTCATAGACAAAAATATAAAAATATCACAATTAATTAACATATTTTTCGCATTTAAACGATTTATATTTTTCACATTTACCAAGTGTTCTATTTCCACAACAAAAACACCATGGCTTATGCCCCTTGCAATATGACGTCATTGGTGCCAATTGATAAACATTATGACGTCATCATGCTTTGTTAGAGCCGCTTCACGTGGTGTAGGTCTAGGTGTGTGATTCTAGCGTCTCAGATGCCAGCCAGCATAGTGTTATGCTGAGTCACCACTGCGCCGGAGTGTGTCGTAGGCCATGTTCATGATGTTGTTTTACCGCAAACTGGTACTTGATATCTTTTGCGTTGAGAATAGACAGGGACCCAGTTGAATTGGCACCAATTACGTCATAATCTAAGGGGGATAACTCAGGCCTGTTTAGCTCGAAAAACGAAGGCCTCATAACGGCATATCATTTTCACACTATTGTGAGCTTCCTACTTTTACTGTGAAAAAAATGAGTGTATATTTTCAAACACAGATACTAATTAATTCTAAAATTGCGTTTTGTTTAGAAAAAGAAAGAAAGTGATTTTTGCGTGTACACTTCCCCTTTAAACAACAAACAATTGCATAACAATTGTTTCATCCATTACAGCATGCTCAGGAGCTGCTGAGTGCTGCTCAGTCCCGCGGCGGTCAGACGTTCTGCTTTAGAAATGAGCAGGGGAAGGTGCAGCGGGAGATGGATGAAGCTGTAAAGGACAACAACTTCATCTACCACGACAAGGTGCCTGACGTGAAGACTCTCCCTATCATAGGCAAGGCTGCTGTGGCCAAACCCTTACCTGTTCCACAGAAATTCTCCACCAACTTCACAGGTAGTTCAGTTAGTTTATAACAAAAGTGTGTGTGTCATGCTGAGTTTATGAAACTATTGCCCTTGCTCTTTCTTGGGACATAGAACAATTCTGTTCCTCTGGCACATTAATTTCATGCCCCTGTTGTGATTCTGGGTTAGAATTGGTCCCCAGCAATGTATGTTTGTCGTAAGAGGCAGACAAATGGATCAGGTTGTCAGACACTGTTCCTTGGTTTGCAAGACATCATACCTGATGGTGAGGAGCGTTTACTTGCATTATCAATCACTGGAATGTCTGGTCCAGACTCAATTATTGCAGCATGCCGTCACATAGCTGGAACATTGCTGTGTGCGTCATTATACAACTGACAAATAAGCGAAGCATTATGTGTGCTTTGCTGTTTACTCATTTAACTTGATTAATCATTTGTGTCAAACAAGCAAGTGATCATTGAGAAGAATTAGAAAAACAAGAAAATTTCAAGTGACCTTTAATGATGTGATCCCGATGTGATTTTTGTTCATGCTAGTTTCATGAATTCATTGAAAGTCATAAAAACAATAAAATGAGGAACAGGTGGCCAAAAGGTCTGTTGTCTATAGATTCTAATTTATTAGAATTGTTAAAAATAGATTTCTGATATGACTAAGAGGGATTATCTTGAAGTTAATTCCTAGAAATTCATAGGATATCTTGCTGAGGAAAGCTATTGTATATATATGTGTATATGTAAGTGAATTCTGTTATTTTTTCTGTGTTACAGACCTCTTTGAGAAACTAGTGCCTTTAGCTGTCCATGATGCCATGACAGCATTTGAGAATAGAAAGGCCCAGATTGTCAACATGGAGATTGGGAGGTTGCGAGAATCTACAAATCTCTTGAATGGGTGTGTTCCACTTTTACAATGTCTAATGTACCCAGGGTTTTACCTTGACCTGCGAAAATATTTACTTTCACTCCGGGATTTCCTCCCACATCAACCTGACACACCATGATATCACTCAAATACTGTTGAAAGCAGCGCTAAACCCATCTCACTCATGCTAATTCATCTGTTGTTTTATTACTTGACATTACTTCTTCATATGGATCATACAAGGTGATCTGTTTCAGTGTGCTGACGTCCCTCAACCTTCCTGCCTCCATCGAGGATCTGGCTGGTGAGAAAGTGCCTCAGTCTCTCACAGAGAAAGCTCAACAGATGCAGGAACAAGGTGGTGCTTCGTACATCTCCAAGCTCATGAATGAGCTGCCAGCACTACTTACCCGTAATAGGGAGATTCTTGATGCTGTGAGTATGATGTTTGGTGCTCACTGCATGGGATGTCAGTTAGGAGAAAATCCTACCGTGTTTGGAAATCTGAGGTTGTTTAACTGTAGACAAAATGCCTCTGTTTTTATTTTGGAACCAAGCACATGGGGTGTTAATTCAGGATAAAGAAACAGTTGGTGGAAAGTATGATTGCACACAGTCCCTCCCAATTCAGAATAGCGTGTGCACCATGCTTTTGGGAACTTCAGTTATGAAGCGTGTTTGTATTGTATGATCAGTATCATTACTGTATTTATTTGGCCATGTTGCCCAAACAAGTTTTGTTTATTATCCCCCACCACGAAGAAGATGGTATAAGAACGGAGTTCATCCATCCTTCCATCCTTCCATCCTTCCGTCCAGTTCTCAAACATGTCAAAGGGTACAAATTTTATCAAAACTATTTAAGTCAGAGATATTGTCATACTAATGTTACTGGTCATGATCTCAAATAAATTTAAAAATTGGTGTCGTAAATTAATTTTTTCAGCTTAGTGCATACTGCGTGAAATGGGGACAAGTTTTCTATGAAACTTCTGAAGTTACATGAATGAAAGTTTGCATGCTTATCAAATCCATTGAACTATTTTTTTAAATGGCCGTGTTGATGATGTTTGATGCAGACTACAGACCATATCTGACTTGCTGTGACATACATATGCCAAGTTTGTGTTCAGACTGCAGCGAGACATTTCACAATGATGAGAGTGGCACTTTAACTAATAACAAGGGGTGGCCCAGTGAAGCAAGATGCTGCAAAGTTGTTGCCCTTAGGTGTGCCAGAAGCCTGTGATCGTGGGTTCGAATGCTTGTTCGCCATGTTTGTTTCGTGGTTTGTCGGCACCTCTCCTGTGCTTTTGGTTTTCACAACAGTGGTGAATGTATAGTACCTGCTTTCCTTCCACAGGACGCTGACACACTGTGATAAAATTGAAATACTCCTCAAATATATCAAAGCAGCATAAAGCCACACTCACTCACAAATGCCATGGTGTTTTTCAGACTGTAGCTGAAATGGACAGTGAAGAGAAGTCTGACACTCAGCTGCGAGAACAGTTCAAAGAAAAATGGACCCGAACACAATCCGCCCAGCTGACAAAACCCATTCGAGAAGAGGCCACGAAGTACAGCACTATCCTGTCTACAGCCACCCAGGCAGATGCTGTTGTTCGGGAGAAGTTTGACAATCACAAGGAAGGCATTGTGTTGCTCTCCAAGCCTCTGGTAAGAGACCAATCTACATTCCATATGACAACAGTAGGGTTTTGTCCAGAAGTATTGTTGACAGATGTTGAGATGTATGTCCAATCACTTTTTGTAAGAAACATTTACCAGTAGCTACAAGTTTTCGAATCCTTGTCTCGCTAAGAACACTGTATGTTTTTCTTGTTTTGATGATCTATACTGATATACATGTATTTACAGGTATACGATTTTAATCATTTTTAAGGAGGGTCAACTGCCCAGCACATTCTTTTCTACAGGGCTAGTCATGATATGCCCCACATTATTAAACAATTTTTTTCTCCCTTAAAGATCTGGGTTAGAATTGGTCTTCAGCAGCCCATGCTTGTCTCAAGAGGCAACTAATAGGATCGGGTGGTCAGACTTACTGACTTGATTGATGCATGTCATCATATCTCAAGTACTCAAGTATCTCATTGATTGATGCTTATGATGTCAATCGCGGGATTGTCTGGTCCAGACTTGATTATTTACAGACTGCTGCCATATAGTTGGAATATTGCTGCGTGTGGCATTAAATAGAAACAACAAAACAAAGCAGATATTTTTCCAATAATTGACTCCTGGAAGTAAATCTAAGTATGGTGATGATGATGTAGACGGAGCTTGAGGCCTCCCTCCCAGCAGGCAGTGGTGGCAGCAGCCTCCAGACCAGCCCCCCAGTCAAGGAGTTGAGGTCGCTCATGCAGCAGGTGGAAACAATCAAAGCTGAGAGAGAAGCCATTGAAAGCAGCATCAAGGATGCCAGCTTTGACATGGGTGAGGCTGCACGTCTTTGTTTTCCTTCTTTGTAGATTCATTCATCTGTGGGAGCGGTCGGGTAGCCTAGTGGTTAAAGTGTTTGCTCGTCACGCCAAAGACCAGGGTTCGATTCCCAACATGGGTACAATGTGAGAAGCCCATTTCTGGTGTCCCCCGCCGTGATATTGCTGGAATATTGCTAAAAGCAGCGTAAAACCATATTCACTCACTCATTCATCTGTGATTTGCTATGCAGAGTTACATCCCCTAGTTGTGCCTGGATGTAATGATAGTTGGTTCAAATCTGAGATTTGCCCTGATTTTGATTTTGGGTTTGTCAGCTCTTTTTTCATAACCATGCTCTGATTGAATTCCAACACAAAGTTATGGACATTGACCCCTTGAAAAGCTGCTAAAACATGAGGTCATCCTGACTGTTAAATGGTTGTTTTAAGTTAAAACAAATTTTATGAATACCACAACTAGCCAGAAAACATAAACCCATGTGGACAAGGAATGTTGCTTAAGACGTTATTTTTTATTGAATGATCTATTATAGTCAGTACATATTCCTTGTGGTATCCATTTAACAGTGTCGTCCTTCATGTCGGCTCTGGCTAGCGAGGGTCTGGTGAATGAAGAGAGCATCTCAGTAGAGGAGCTGGACCGTGTATACGGCCCTCTGCGGGAACAGGTGTCAGACAGCATCCACAGACAGGATAACCTGCAGGCCAGGATACAGGTACCCGAGCCTTAGAATTTCATTATTTTTAAGACTACTCTAGAGGACAAGTGGAAATCTTATTTCACTAGTCCTCAGAGTTTGTACTTAGTCCTGCTGGAATGAGACAGAACTGTTTACTGTGTTTACATTTTCTATCAGTTTTATTCAGTTGAAATTTGTAGCAAAATTTAAACACTGAGAACTGGTTTAAAATTATAGCCCTCAAATGCTACTAGTCAATGAGGACTCCAGTCACTGGATTTTTACTTGTCCTCAGCACAATGTAGTAGTCACAGGCTAGTGGTCTAGCATGAATTTTGAAGAATGCATCATCAGTGGCAGGATCCTCTGATTGGGTTTGAATCCTAGGAATGGGTGCTGTCCATATGTCCTTTTGTCCGTCACTCATGTTTTGTTTCCTGCAGTAGAACTCAAAAACCATGAGAGATATCTTAACCAAACTTGGCACATAGATAGGTCTAGTGGTGAACTGGTGCCTTTTGATAGTTTGGAATTTTGGAGCAGGTCTTGAAAACTGTACACTATTTCTTGCTTTGCACACATCCTGATATGAGATGGGGATATGAGTATTCATGCTTCTTATTCTTGTGTTTGACTTTCAGAATGCCAACACAGACTTCAGCAATGCCCGGTCCTCCAATCAGTCAGCGGCCGCTAGGGAAGCCAAACTGAAGGAGCTGCAGGCTGCATACAACATGTACATTGAACTCAAGGGAAATCTGGAGGAAGGAACCAAGGTGGGTGTGTTGGCCAGGGCAGAGTGCACTCAATCAATGGGGCTGTATTTGGTCAGGGTAGGTGTCATAATGCCACAGGATTCTGTGCTGGTTTCAAGTTGGGTATTGTGGCTCAATGGGGTATTGGGTGGAGATGGTGTACTGGGTTAAATTTGGGTGTCATGGGTACATTGGGTCCCAATTGCGAAATCAGACCCACCGGAAGTGCTTGTTAAATCTCCAAGAGAAGAAAAAATAATGGCACTGAAGGGAGAAAAACTTTGCTGGGCTAGATTTGGGTGTCATGGGTCCATTAGGAACTGAGGGTAGAAACAGTGTGCTGGGTTACAGTACTGTGGATCAATGTGGTAGTGAGAGGAGACTGAGTGTTCAAAAGTAAAAATGAGTGCCATAAATCTGTGAGTGAGTGTGTTTTTCTGCTGCTTTTAGCAATATTCCAGCAACATCATGACTCCAGAAATGAGAGACGCTTTAGCTAATAGGATACCCCACTGCCCCACCATAAACATATACATGTGTTTGATAGGGGATAAAGAGTGTGCTTGGCTTGTGTTGAAGACTCAGGAGCCATGGAAAGTCACAGTTGGGTGGATAGAAAAAATGCCTGAGTAGAGTTGAGTATCCTACATCCGAGAGGTAGTAAGGCAGAACGAAACGTGTTCTCCACATCGCCCTGTCTGTTGTTCCAGTTCTACAATGACCTGACTCCACTGCTAGTCAAGTTACAGTCCAGAGTGATGGACTTCTGCTTCGCCAGGAAGACCGAGAAGGAGGAGTTGATGCAAGATGTCCAGAAGCAGATCGCCAACACCAAGTCCCAACCTGCCCCACCCACCCCTACATACCAGGGAGGACCTGGTCAGTCAGCGCCCCCTGCAGGTAGGCTCACCATGTGTTGTCTCCCCTGGATGTGTTCTTCTGTATCATGGACTGAAGCAATATCCAGTGATCTGACATATTATATTCTTGCACATTAATCTTGCATATGCAAGTATGTATGTTATTTGTTCTGGGAGAAATTTTAAGAATAATACAAATGAAAATATTTACTAATCAAAATTAATTTTATATCATGTTCCTCAGTGCATATAAATCTTAAACAGAAATATTGATATTTTTTTTTATATAGTTAGTTGTAATGTTAATAGCACATGGTAACTGAAGATATAGATGGGTATTGAAGATTTCTGGAGTACCAGTAACAAGCATGGCAAGATTATTGGTTAGTTATGTACAAGCTCTGGATAGTGTCTTCAAGTTCCATTTCTATGTTAGTGTGTTTTGTTTCTTTGATCTTTCATCTGTTCAAATTTATCTGTTCACATTGACTAGCATTCATCAAGTGATATGCACACTACATAACATATCAAAGAAGAAACCATATGTTTCTATTGCAGTAGATTTGCAAATATTTCTGAGATGAAGATGTTTCCTTCATTAGCTACTCATCATAGTGTTGAGTGTGGGACAGGTTGTGTGGAATTGTTGTCATACTAATAGTATTTGAGTAATAGTATCCAATACTGCCTTCGGAATGGTTCCATTTCATTTATAGTGTATTTTTCATCTGCTTGTGTTTCCATCAACACCAGTTTGTCATGTTTAAGGCGGGGGCACGGGGTCCAAATTGTCTAAGGTGTTGCAATTTGCTGTGCAGAGCTGTGTCCCTGATGCATCCCAGAAACCAATGATCATGGGTTCGAATCCCGGTTCACCCTTATTATGTTTCTAGGTTTGTCTGCACCAAAGCCTCTAAGATCTGTATAACTTTGGGCTTTCCTTCCACATCAAGCTGACACGCTGTGGTATAACTGAAATACTGTTCAAAGTGGCACTAAACCTAACCCCTACCACATTCGATTATGTTTAGGCTACCTTGCAGTTTGAAATCATATTTTTTTAAAATTCAGATAAAAATGAATAAGAATTGTTATCGATTGCAAATATACTTTGTCATCATTTATTTTTATCTAAATTCTGTCAGTTGCATGCATGATATGTACTAACTATCTATCACCTTTCCTTACTATAGTGATAATTATGTCAAGTTTAGAATGTACCTGTAGTTTCATGTAACTCAATTAGTACATCCAAACACATGTTCTGTAGGTGTAAACAAAATGACTTCTCATTCATTTCTTGTTTGTCTGTTGTTTCCTCATTGAAGGAGTTACAATTTGTAAAATTTTCGGATGGGTTCATATCGTCAAAAGGGAAACTTTCGTCAGCCTCATCACTTTTTTATGTCAGATGTCTATGTCAGTTCATAACCACTACGGCTCTTGTTTGGAGATTCAATTTTGATCCTGAAGCAGCTGTCACTATTTACTTGTAGTCCATCTAAAGGAACTTATAATTTAAGTTAAAAAAATATTTAGACTACTAGTATATATATGCCCTGGTATGTAAGTATTTGAAGACAGCATATTGTTCATCATATTACTAATATGACTGTCATACACTGATGATAAATCTATTCAAAAGTCAAATACTTTTCTGCAAAAAATATTGTTCTTTTTCCAGTATCTTTGCCTTGAATTGACAGCTAGTATTAAAACATTGCAAACTGGAAGAAAACCTTGTTGCCTTCATACACTACCATGGTTACATTGCATCATTTCTCTACAAAAATATTTTGAGATGTCCAGATTATCCAGATGAAGATAGACAGGAATGAAACAGAAGTTGTTTTCTTGTTTGTGATCATAACGTATATCTCCTTCTTCAGTTACCTTTTGTTGTGATTTTTCTGTGTGTGATTTGAGTGTTGCTTCTGTTGTTAGCTCCTGATTCCAGCAGTTCAGGTGCTAACCGTGTCCCCCCGCCCCGCCCCCCTCCTCCGACCCCGGGGGTAGGGCAGCCTGGTGCACCATCAGCTCCTCCTGGTCCCGCCGCTGCGGGTACGAACCTCTTCATTTCATTTCCCCAATACTTTTCTCTTTCTATTTCATGCTTAATTTTTTTAAATTACATTTTTGTGTCTGTATTTTGTCAGATGTAGTAAATGGTACTTGGTGTGTAATGTCTTATGACTGCTGGGTTAGAGGTACTTAGCTTACTTACTTGTGGCTTTATTTGTTATGGAAAGGTTTTTACATGACTTGCAACTTAACACAAGCTGATACAAATGCCTGTTCATCATCAGAGGAAGGTGCAGCTTATCACTTCCTTGTATATATTGCTACAAAGGATATGGAGGATTTTTTGGGGCAAAAGATTTTTGGTGTATTACTTGATATAGGTTTAGGCTTGGAAAGTTCAACATGGCTGTTAAAACCTAAGTGCTATCCTTGTCTCCCTTTGACTGTAATTTTACAAGCTCCTTACAGCGATACCCCTTTTGCTGAGCTCTCAATACTATCACTGCCATCACTCACAGCTCCCCACTGTGCAAGGTGACCCACAACCATGCACAGAGTTAACTCGGAACAAACAGTTTACAAACAAGTGATGACTGTCGTGATGCCGAATACTGTTCCTGCAGCTAAATTAATTTCTTAGCTTGTCAATTTGAATTTCTATTACATTTCAACTGTCATGTAAATGGTATAATAAGAATGTAAGGGGGAAGTTTGGTGCTTTTCCGTTAGTCTGCTGTCTCAAACCAAACCACAAAAAGTAAACTCATCTGGGAAAAAGTAAGTCAGTCATAAACCTTTTCAAAGTTCACAAAGTTCACCGATAGACATGCACCAAAATATAACATAAATATATCTCTACATTTGGGGTTAGATGGCAAGTTTCAAGATTCTTGCAATGACTGTTTGCAGACTGGTGTCATGGCTTCAGATGGAGCTTGGTAGTTTTACATGCCTTTCCCATAGATCATTAAAATCTGATCCCGTCTTTCTGTGTGAGATTCTTTACGTTTGAATGCATGGTTGTTTGAGCATAGTGTAGACATGACATGCTCAATACTGTTGTGTATTGCTTTTAACAACAATTTCCAAAATGTGTTTTACCACCTTGAGTAGGAGAATTTGTCATCAGCTAGTCACTTCCTTCTTCCCACATTTGTCATGTTATCAGACCTTATATAACCTTGACGTGATGTCTTTCAATCAAATGTATGTTCACTTACGGTTGATTAGCTAGAATGCTGTGGGTTTTTTGCCACATATTTTGCATGGCATGTATCACTAAATGAGCTCTTTGTTGATTGTCTCGAATTACATATGTCTGATACAAACGTTCCAGGGTCAGCACCTCCCCCAGCAGGTGCCCCTCCTGGCACCGCCCCACATCAGAACCCCTACCCCGCCCCAGGTTACCAGCAACCTCCGGTCCAGAACTATGGTAGGTGCCCCTGGCATGACATGTTGTTTCCCAGTCACCCAGGTCAAGCTGTACAAGTGAGTTGGTGTCTTGGCATGACAAGACCCCATGATGTGACCTTGACATTGCATGTGGTTGCTTCCCCGTCAACCAGGTCAAGCTGTACGAGCGTGTTGGTGTCTTGGCATGACATAACTCCATGATGTGACCTTGACATTGCATGTGGTTGCTTCCCCGTCACCCGGGTCAAGCTGTACAAGCGTGTTGGTGTCTTGGCATGACATAACCCCATGATATGACCTTCACAGTGCATGTGGTTGCTTCCCCATCACCATGGTCACACAAGTCAAGCAGTACAAGTGGGTTGGTGTCTTGGCATGGTATGACCCCATGATGTGACCTTGTCATTGCATGTGGTTGCTTCCCCGTCACCATGGTCGCACAAGTCAAGCTGTACAAGTGGGTTGGTGTTTTGGCATGACATGACCCCATGATGTGACCTTGACCTTGCATGTTGTTGCTTCCCCGTCACCATGGTCACACAAGTCAAGGTGTACAAGTGGGCTGATGTTTTGGCATGACATGACCCCATGATGTGACCTTGACATTGCATGTGGTTGCTTCCCCGTCACCCAGATCAAGCTGTACGAGCGTGTTGGTGTCTTGGCATGACATAACCCTGTGATGTGACCTTGACATTGCATGTTGTTGCTTCCCCGTCACCATGGTCACACGAGTTAAGCTGTACAAGTGGGTTGGTGTCTTGGCATGGCATGACCCCATGATGTGATCTTGACATTGCATGTGGTTGCTTCCCCGTCACCATGGTCACATGACTCAAGCTGTACAAGTGGGTTGGTGTGTTGGCATGACATGACCCCATGATGTGACCTTGACATCGCATGTGGTTGCTTCCCCATCACCATGGTCACACAAGTCAAGGTGTACAAGCATGTTGGTGTCTTGGCATGACATGACCCCATGACCAGGCTTTGAGCTTGATTTGACCCTCACATGTGGATGCTGTCACGACACCTGGATCAGGCTTTTCCAGCCAGTTGGTGTTTTGGCCTGCAGTAACATGACCAGGGCCATGTTCCACAAAGAAATCTTAGCGCTTCAACTATTGTTGTTTGTGTGGTCTATGGGTCTACGAAAGTCCAAGAGCTAAGATTGCTTTGTGAAGCGGACCCCAGGCTGAGCTTTGCATGACCATGACAGTAGTTTTGATATTGTGCACATTAGCATCAAGTTTGGTCAAGAGATTCCAGGCTTCAGGATCATGTATCATGTATCCTCTCTTGGGGTGCTGTGGCAGTGATACTAACCCCTTGTTGCACTGTTACGCTTCCTGTTAACCCCTGCTGTTCTGTCAATGTGCGCCCCAGTCATGCTTATCATGCTTTAGGAGATGGTTCTTTTGTTGTGCCGTTGTGCAGGCTTGATATAATAGGTGCATGGTTCAAAATTAATGGGTGTCCTTTGGTATTTGCTGCTATAGCATTTGAAACTAGGTCTCCTCAGATTGTGTAACATGAGGGTCATGACAAGACCCCTTAACTTCCATGCTTGATTTCCAACACTGATGAAGATCTGAGGTAGAATCTTCAGCAACCCATGCTTGACGTAAAAGGTGACTATGCTTGTCGTAAGAGGCGACTAACAGAATCTGGTTGTCAGGATTGCTGACTTGATTGATGCATGTCATCGTATGCCAAGTGTGTGGATCAATGCTCATGATATCAATCACTGGATTGTCTGGTCCAGACTCAATTATTTACAGACCTCCGTCATATAGCTGGAATATTGCTGAGTGCGGCGTTAAACATAACAAACAAGTAAGACACGAATAGGTGTGACTGTGTTTAGCAATACATTTAATTCAATTTGTACCAACTCACTGAGCAATTGAAGGGTTTCAGTCCAGTTTACCAAAGTATTAGTAGCATGGTGTGATGGTTCTTTCTATGCATGCCTGGAAGTTGCTTCAATCTTGATGCTTGATGCATTAATGCATTAATGCAAGGTGGTGCTTGGTCATTGTCTTTGCATGCCCTGCCTGTATGGTCCCTCCAACATGACAGCAGCCAGGACAGAGATCCGTCTCACTGGTTTCACGTCCTGTATTACCTCTTCTCACAGTATCGCACTTGCTGATCTACTTCCTTCTTCAATTTGTCTGCCTGCATGCTCCCTATGAACCCAGCAGTTCAGCAACAAATAACCCTTGTTGACTATCTACAACTAACCAGTATGTTTGTTGTCTTTTTTAATTCAACTCGGGAGGTGAGCCTGATGTATGGTACAACATCTACAAGATGCAGTGTTTTGCACAATTATTTATTTAGTACGTTTAATATCTGCTGTAAACCATCCTTGGTAAGATGTGATCCTTGATTATCCATTGTATCACATTATCCTATTATGATGAGATCTGTACCCTTAACCCCTTCACTAACTTAACCTCGTTCTGAGGCCAGTTTGAAGGCTAAAAATATATGTCCAATCAAATTACAATGTTCTTTCACGATAAAGCTTGCAGTGATTTCACCAGTTCTCGTCTTGTCACAAATACAAGCTGGACATCTTGTACCTTTTGGACTTCTTCCCTCTGCCATCTTGCTACTTAGGAAAGCTATATTGGAGGTCTATACAAAATTCACCTTTACAATTTGATTGGTTATTTGTATCATGTAATAAACTGGCTACCACTGTTTGATTACAGCCTAAGATTTGTGCATGTATTTCCAGCGGGGTACGGTGGAGCACCTCCTCCCCAAGCGGCAGGACAGCCCCAGGGCTGGCAGGCCCCCTACCCTCAGTACCAGCCCCCCATTGCCATGCCTGGCTCCTACAACCCCTACAATCCCTACATGGGCTACCCTCAGCAGCCCACCTACGGACAGGGCTACCCCCAACAGCAACCCCCTCAGTACCCGGGGCAGCAGCCACCAGCTGGGTATGGGGCCCAGCCTCCCCAAGGGCAGTACCCAGGATATCCCCAGCCGGGGTACCCGCAACAGGGCTACCCCCCACCTGCCCAACAGTGGCGCTGAGCATGATGGGATACGGCTAGGGGAGAGAACTCTTTCGAGTGACAGTTGTGGACAAACTGGGACTCTCTTGGAGTTTAATACACAAACATATGTTGTGATCTTTATCAAAAGTTGAAGGAAATGTGTTTTATACTCTCTCGTTGCTTGAAGATACATTTGGAATAAACCTCATGTATAGCTGTTAAATAGTAGATAGTCTATTTTCATAATCTGAAAATAAAGTGATCGCATTAGACTAATTTTGAAAGTAAATTAGATTTGCAATGTTATCAAATGAGTAAGGAGCTAATGGTCATTGTCCTTTCATGTTAGTCTCAATTTAAGCTGTATTAGACTCTTCTCGTATTGGTTGAATTATCTCCCCTTGACCACACAAGTTCCAGTTAGCAATAACTTCAGTCGACACTACAGACTAGTCTTCATCATCAAGTTAACAGCATATGATATGTTCAGAGAATTTTTAGTAATTAATGTTTTTCCCATTCTTCAATGTTCATCGAAAGTCTTCAACATCAAATTTAGTTATAAACATTATCTATTGTTGAATTCTTTCTTTAATATTCAAATGTTATTGACTATAGTTTAAAATTAGTATATTAGTATTTTCAGTGTATTAGACTGATCTACTGCTCCATCACATGCTGCATGACCTTCTCCCATCTTGTAATCACCCAAACAGAATGAAAGAATATTTTTGTGCTTACTTTGACTACACTTTTACAATAGCATGTTGGATGGCTGCTTTTTGTTATTTTACATGTTTATTTTTCAAGAGCTTGTCACCGTTTCATATAGACGTGTATACACTTGTCTTTCATGTTAGAGTATCATGGATTCTTATGATAACATTGTAGTCTTGTGGTTGATGGGTGCGATTTTAAATCAGGACACCAAGTCAACTGTTCCCACACAAAAAAGTTGTTAAGTTTATGTACTTATTGTGCTATGATTAGAAACGTTGCTCGCATTGTGTTGCTTGTGGCAATGGTCTGTGAAGATTTTGTGGATCTGTACAGGAAACAGTTGATATGGACTCAGTACAAACATTTTGGTTTTTTCTCTGTTCAGTTCAGACATTCAATTGTTTAGTAATGTAAGAGAATGGTTCAAGCCATACACTGTCCCATGATAAGTAAAATCAGGTGTTGAAGGCAACAGCTGGTCAGGTTTGGGAAATAATTCTCCATTATCACTAGCTTGAAGTTTTAAACAGTCCCTTAAGTCTCTTAAACATGGTGATGAGAGTTTTGCAGTGTGAAATTCAATGTTACTTCTACTGTTAGAAGTATGTGTTGTCTATTCCCAGTTAAAGCGGTCCTAACATTAGGATTAACTAATTTTGATTTGCAATATATACGAGATGATGTATGTAAAATGGAGATTTCAGGAAAGTTAAAATTGAAATATGAAGTTAGAATCTGTACAATCAATGCAGACAGGTGACATGTATTTCACCTTTTCTTTATTTCAACGTGACATTTCTGTATGCAGGTGGTAGTACCTTCATCAAGCAAGTGACCTCTTGTTTAATGAAGATAGTAGCACCTGTACTCAAATGTTGCATTGAAGCAATGATGAAGAAGAAATCCATGCCAGCTCCATCTCCGATCTCAACCATGACCAACTATTCTGATCACTCCTACATCTGTACTCGTCTATGATGATTGTTAAGGTTTTGATTCACTAATCGTCCAGCCTCCCACTGATCTTATCTTCTCTGTGATGCAACTTTGTGCTCTTATGCAAACTGTGTGATGTGACAATAAACTCTTCAATCATGTCTGTATATATTTGCACACACCAGCCTGTACATTTCCTATTGCCTGTGAGGACAGGACTATGCTCTGTCTGCTCTGCCTGCTCTGCTAAGCTGATATCCAGTTGGTGTTGTCATTTTGTACATATAGAAAGTCTATCAGCAAGACAGGTTTCTATTAAATAATTCATACAACACAATGGTGTCTTTGTTCTTTTGTGGAATGTTTAAAGATTGGACTTGGGTGAGGATTGGTTGGTTACAATGTCTGACATGATGATTGTGTGACATCTTACCCAGACAGGATTGTTGCCTGTGTAGTTTACTTAGGACCTGTGAACATCCGGGGTAGAATAGGTCTTCAGCAACCCATGCTTGCCGTGAAAGGCGACTATGTTTGTCGTCAGAGGCGACTAACGTGATTGGGTGGTCAGGCTCACTGAATTGGTTGATGCATGTCATCGTATCCCAACTGCATGGATTGATGCTCATGTCAATTACTCGATTATGTGGTCCAGATTCAATTATTTACAGACTGATGTCATATAGCTGGAATATTGCTGAGTGCAGCGTTAAACAACAAAAGAACAAAACAAAAGTTTACTAAAGTTGTCATGGTACGCCCACCTCATGAAGTATATATTGCAATACTTGAGTCACAATATGATACAGGGCACGGGCGGCCCAGTCGTCTCAAGGCGCTACCATTCGCTGTGCAGAGTTGCATGCAAGAAACCTGTGATCAGGGGTGTGAATCTTGGCCCAAACAATTATGTAACTGCTGGCAGCAACACAAAATAACATTCAATAAATAACATACAATGAATAAAATTGATGTCGATAGTTTGTGTTTCTAATATTTATTTTGGTTGTGGGGGACTCCACACGACAATCTGATGCCAATCTCCAGTGAAGGTTGAGACTTATTCAGTGTGTGAAACCGAGACATTGTCTCTATGTAGTCAACATGATTTGAGTGAACATTAACTGCTGTATTGAACCTCCTCACATTATTAGAGGAGCATGTGTGGCCAAGATGTTTAAGACACTGCAATTCACTGAGCAGAGTTGCATCCCTTGGGCACACCAGAAGCCTATGGCTGTGGGTTCGAATCCCACTTTGCCCTGATTATGTTTCTAGGTCTGTCTGCACCATACCTGTGTTCATGTGTTTCAGCAGAGTGGTAATGTCTTAGACCTGCATCAATTCAGGCTTTCCTCCAACATGAAGTTAACACAAGAAGATATAACTGGATTAGCATGCAGCTTTTGGCTTTGGAGCGGGGTATAAGGGATTAATTTCTCTCAGAAATCCAATGTGCAGCCTGATATGCTCGTGGTGGGGTATAAGAGATTTATTTCCCCGCTGAGAAATTTATTCCCCTCCAAGGTAGGTTACACAGTATTTTATCAAGATCACATGGATCAATCGGATTTCATCATTCTGAGATGGAGGTATGATAACACTCCTTGTCATACTTAAAACAAACTTGCTTGGACTGCCATCTGGCCGGGGCCTAATCCCCTTCAGGTGTCTCCAGGTGAATATAAATCTTTATGCAATCTTTGTGCATAGGTCGTCTAAGGCGCCAGAAATCCCTGTGCAGAGTGCAGAAGCCTATGATTGTGGTTCCAGTTCTGCTTCACACTAAGTTTGTAACTTTGTCAGCTCCATGCCCGTGATTGTGGTTTCACCAAAGCGGTAAATGTCTGCAGAACGTCAGGCTTCAAGTTGACAAGCAGTGATATGAGGGAAATAATTTGTATGTTAAACCCACCTCTCTCACTCACTCATTCAAGTCATGCAGTAATACTGAGAATTGACTACATAAATCTCACATGTGTTTGAAGTTTGAACCAGTGTGAAGGATACTGGGCCAGTGGGATGGCATAGTGGTTGAAGCTTTGCTTGTCACACGAATACACCCCCTGGGATTTCTGGGCTAGAAAAGTTCCCAGCAACTTCTGACCTAAGTTTATAAAGACCGTCCACGTGGTCTAGTGGTAGAGCGTCCGCCCGGAGAGCAAAAGGTCCAGTGTTTGATCCCCAGACACGTCATACCAAAAGACGTTAAAAGATGGTACTTGTTGTTACCCTGCCTGGCGCTCGGCATTACGGGGCTAAAACAAGAACTGGTCGGCTCAGATTCTCTCAGTTTACAGTGTCTGAGTGGGGTATTTATGTTAAACTATGGTATCTCAGTGGGCTCGGACTATAACATCAGCATTACTCAGGACAAGTACAAACAGCCACACACACACACACCTGTGCATGCACGTCGCAATAAAAGTGCGATAATCTTGGACACAACATTAAACCACATTTCACCTCACTACCTCAGTTAGTCAGAAGCGGAAAGCTATGGGATCCGATTGTCGGACTCGGTGACTTTGTTGAATGGGTGTCATCATTCCAGGATGGCAAAGGTAGCATAGGTGTAAGATTGGGTATCATTTAATAGTTACTATAATAACCCCCTGTGGGAATTGTTACTTCTCTTATGAATCACCCGTGAACATCCGGGGTAGAATAGGTCTTCAGCAACCTATGCTTGCCATAAAAGGCGACTGTGCTTGTTGTAAGAGGCGACTAACAGGATCGGGTGATCAGGCTCGCTGACTTGTTTGATGCATGTCATCATATCCCAATTGTGTGGATTGATGCTCATGATGTCAATCACTGGATTTTCTGGTCCAGACTATATTTTGATTGACCACCGCCATATAGCTGGAATATTGCTGAGGGCGGAATTAAACAACAAATAAACAAAACAAAAATAATATCAATCACTGAATTGTTTGGTTCTGACTTGAATATTTACAGATCACTGTGACATAGCTGAAATGTTTCTAAGTGCGGCATCGAACACTGACCACACACTCTAATCCTGTGCTCTGACATTGATTATTGAACAGTGTAGCGGTGTTCAAGAAGCAAGTATTGCTATCCATCATCACCCTCTACCAGAGTCTGTAGACTGAAGAAGTTATTTATAACCAGGTAATAGCAGCTGTTTGTTGTTTCCAGCCCTAGACTTCCTGGTCACTCCGATCATGTGGAGTACAGCAGGCCGAGATCAGTTGGTCGGCAGCCCGGTAGTTCCTTGTCATGTCACTGCTAATCCTAGTCCTGTGATTCACAACAGAATGAGTACATATTTATTTGTAGATGTTACACTACAAGTCATGGTCTATGAATTTTTTTATTACAAAATATATTTTTCTCTTATTTTTTTTATTTTTTTTCAAATGCTGAGACCTTCATCACTTCGGGGTTTCCTCCCACATTAAGCTGACACGCCCTCGATATAACTGGAGTTTGTCAGCACCATACCCGTGCTCGTGGGTTTCACCGAAGTGGTAAACGTCTAAGACCTGCATCACTTCGGGCTTTCCTCCTACATCATGCTGACAAGCCGTGATATAACTGGAATAATGTTAAAAGCGGTGTTAAACCCAACTCACTCACTCACACGATATAACTGGAATAATGTTAAAAGCGGCATTAAACCCAACTCACTCACTCACTTTTTCAAATGCTGATTTCATATGTCCGTTAGGTTGGTTTTGCGCCATGTTTAGCAATATTCCAGCAATATCCCATTGGGGAACACAAGAAATGGGCTCAAAATATTTAACCAATTAGGAATCTAACCCTGACCTTTGGTGTGATGAGCAAATGCTTTAACCACAAGGCTACCCTAACACATGATTTCATCCGCAGAATATGGCTGGCTGGGGTTGCCTATTTCTAGCTCAGCCAACTGAAAGTCAAGTCAGCTTATTTCATGGAATGTGTGTCCATTGTCCATTGTCCATTGTCCATCATCTGTTCTCCGTCATTAACATCTCAGAAACTGCTGAACCAAAAAAGCTGAAATTTGACATACTTGTTCCCATCAGTGATGACATCTCGATTTGTTCAAGAGGATCAGATCTGATTTTCAAGATGGCTGCCAAGTCAAAATGTAATGTTTGTTTGTTGTTTAACGCCACACTCCACACTTAACGCAATATTCCAGCTATATGACAGCGACCTGAAAATAATCAAGTCTGAACTAGACAATCCAGTGATTGACATCATGAGCATCAATCTACTCAGTTGGAATACGATGACATGCATCAACCAAGTCAGCGAGCCTGACCACCTGATCTTGATAGTTGCCTCTTACAAGAAGCATGGGTTTCCGAAGGCCAATTCTAACCAGGATCTTCAAGGGAATCAAAATGTCAGGAAATTTGGTTCATGTTAAGTTCGTAGTGAGGCTCCACATATATGTTCTATTTTGGGAGATACATATATATTTTTCCTTCATTTGTCCTTCCTCTTTGATTCTCTGAAAATGCATTTTTTCATACTGTACACATGACCACCGCATAAACCATTGGACCAATGAAGCTGAAACTTCACAGAATTGTTCCCAATAATGATGAAAGATGAACATTTTCAAGAATGTTTAAATCTAAGTTTCAATATGGCCGCCATGGCAGTCATATTGAAAAAGCTATTTATGGCCATTTTTCTCGATAACACCAACACAAACCTTACCATGATTTTGTTCATGAGCCCATTGTAATTGTTTTGGAATGAATTGGATGTTTTATTTATTAATATATATGCATGTGGCATCATTGGCCCACATATCATCAGCTGATTCGTGAGGCACCACTCAATCATGCAAGTGAACAGAGCCGTACCAGTACATAGGCCATGTTTGTTTACATTAGTATGTGAGTGAGTGAGTTTGGTTTAACGCCGCTTTTAACAGTATTCCAGTTATATCACAGCGTGTCAGCTTAATGTGGGAAGAAAGCCCGAAGTGATGCAGGTCTCAGACGTTTACCACTTCGGTGAAACCCACGAGCACGGGTATGGTGCTGACAAACCTAGAAACATAATTGGGGCGAACCAGGATTCGAATCCACAATCATAGGATTCTGGCGTGCCCAAGGGACGTAACTCTGCAGAGGGAATCGTGGCACCTTAGACGGCTGGGCCACCTGTGCCCCCCGTTAGTATGTACATTTTCAAGGATGTAAAATGTCAACAAGATTGATAACAGCCCATCATTACGCAAAATAGGGGTATCATCAAATTACATTTGCCTACATGTTTCCTAATAAGTTGTGAGCTGTTTTATGATATCAAAATGCGATAACTTTTACATAAATCTCCAAACATTTCTCATTTCTAAATATC